ATAAAAAGCATTTAGTGACATGCAGGAAGTTACCTAAAGAATACAATATAAAGTATATCGTGTTGTGGAGGATCACTCTAATATAAGTTTAGATAGGGGTATGAACTAATAAAGGGGGTTTTCACAGAAGACATTTTGACATGTAGGAAAAGCACAGGGGTAAATAAAATAAATGATGGCTGAAATTCCATCAAGCTGTTTTGGTTTCAAAGGCTGTGACTGAAATCACCCATATAGCACATTGTCTTTACAGGTTTGAATCTATGCTCTACTATAAATATTGCCCTCACAAAATCCCACAATGGAAAAAGTAGTATATGGCATGTGCACTGTTAGATTGGAGATCTTGCACTTGCTTGCAGTGTCCCGCAGGGATCTATTCTGGATCCCCTTTTATTTACCATGCTACCCCTGGGGCAAATCATGCATAGATATAACTGTCCCTGCTACTAAATGATAAGTAACGGTATGTCCCAAGAAAGCCGGGTACCCCCGACGTGTTCTTTGTAATGTCTTGCCTTGCTGAAATTAAGAATTTGAGATCTCAAAAATTCCTGCAGTTGAATGACTCCAAATCGTAAATAACACTTTCTTTTCTAGTGAGGGTGCCTGATCTAATAATGCTTAAAAAGAGGTCGTTATCTAGACATTATTTTGGACTCAGAGGTTAGCCATACTGTATCTCCTCCAGACTTGACTCTGGCAATGCAATTTATTTTGAGACACTTGAATAGAACTGGGCTATCGTTAACGTTATTGGTAACACCTGTGTGCTCTTCCTGCAATGACAAGTCAAAATGTTTGCATTGAAAACAACCTATTGTATCTGAATTTCAAAGAATTAATGTCATAATTGTGACTGTGTCTCAACTTTCATTTTGGTGCTAACCAGCAAACATCGTGTCTTTGAATACTTCCTGATACAAAAACTTGGGGTCTGAAAATCTCAGCAGGTGTTGAGCCAAAATAAAAACTAAGATGACATCTACACTGCTACCTGCTTCCTTTTGTGATGTCAAAACCCAAATAGGTTTCTGAAAATAATATGTTTTTCTGTTAGTTTGGTCAATTTTGGTAAATATTGTGTGTGTGTGTGTATGTTCATGGTGTGTGTGGCCCTGAATCTTCTGGTTGATCTTGTCTTAATAGCCTGGAATGCTTGGAAAGAGAAATACATAGGTACGGCGGCAAACCCACAGGCCATTATATGTTTCCGTAGATACTGTTTATATAGATACTAATGTTCACATTTACCCATCTCTCTCTCTCTTTCTCACACACACAAACACACAGAAAAAATGGGCATCTGTAAAGTGCTCACTCAGCACAGCAGCTGCATCAGCAGAGTGAGACAGAATAGAAAGCAGTGTCTTTGTTTCTGTGTGTGCGTGGTTGAGAGAAAGAGTGCGCATGTGTGAGGAGTTAAGGGTGATGGGATCTTTGAGCAGACAAAGGGGAATCACTGCTACTCTCAGCGTCCATTAGACCCTATGGATCAATATTGATCTTTGCTACCACCGAGCTCTGTCTAAGCTCCTGTTCGCCCTGATAAAATGACAGCATTAGCGCACATACACAGATGGATGGATTTGGGGGTGGGAGGGTGAACCATAGCCAGAAAAAGAGAGAGAAAGACTAGAAATATTTACAGGTCCAGAGGCGAAAGGAGAGGAGACAGTAAGGCTGAAAATGTGTGCAAAACGGACACCAAGAGCGAGAGAGAAAGAGCGAGAGAGATATAACCAAACAGAATAATAGAAAAATCATAGTTTGTTTATGTAGGCACAGTCTAAACCAGGGGATGAATCCATAAAAAAACACTCCAGCTCTTTCAGCATTTCAATTACTTAGTGCATCTTCTCCTGACTGACTGTTTTAGAGAACATAAAGGGAAAGCGAGGAAGTCCCTGTACAGCCGTCATAGTAAAAGCGTTTGACATCCGTGTATGTCTGGGATGAGAGAGAGTGAAAAGGGAAGAGTGAGTTTTTGACCGTGTGTCTTGTGTCTGTACTTCTGCTCTGACACCCTATTGCTTGAATAATAAATAGTGATCTGCTGTTGCTGTTTATTTGGCCACCTGACTCTTATTATCTAGTGGATGGAGCGAGGGAGAGAGTATCTACTTATATCAGAAAGCAATTCAGAAGTCTGAGCAGTCGTCCCTCACACATTCTCATCCTCCCTGTTTGTTATCCCAGTAATAACCAACAGGAAACTAAAAGGTTCCAGAAGCACATAGGGCATTGGAGTCGTTTAATATAACAGCCCTCTAGATAGGGAAAGGCGTGTAAATACAGTTGTGTTAAATATTGTCTTAAGAAAGTTTTTCATGATATAGTGCCAGTTCAGAACAGAGTGAGACACCACAGTCATCTATATAGATAATACAACTTTAAATTGTTTTTACTTATGTTGCCAGAACACTATCTGTCCTGATGAAGCAGAGTTTTTGAGTTTTAAACTCTCAATAACTTTGATTTAGATTGTCTGAACTCTCTCATCGATTCATTCCCTACTCCCAATAACAGACACTCAACAGTTTACTAAATAGTCAGCTGTAAATTCAGATTTTGACACAAATCTTCAGCATTTTGTGGCATTGCCGGCAGGTGTACACGACACATCTCTCAAATGGAAATTAGGGGGATTGGGAGAAAGTAGCATACATGCCATAGATACTTATTTTTTATATTTTCCGTTGCATTTTCACCATACATTGAGGAAATGTCACACTCAGAATTTAGGTACTCAAATAAAAAGGCAGTGGTTACTTTTAAATAATCATAAATAACAATAGCTGTATCTAATTCATTGAAGATATTGTGTATACATTTGTAGGTTATTAATTTGTTAATTCTGTCTTCCCCCTTTCCTCCTTTCCGCCTCATTCATGCACACCAACACATTTACAATGAATCAGCCAAGTTCCCATAGTATATGGATGAGTTTGTTAGAAAGACATTTACAGTGACTTCTAGATCTGTGTATTCGATATTCCTCAACAACAAACTTGACCCAGTAGGTCAGTGCCTCATGAATTTCCTCATAATATAGCCTTTGGATTTAGTTCACGTTTTCTTTTTCCTTTCACTTCTGAAAGGCATCAATTGGGGATAGTTAAAGCCTGCAGGCTAGTTTTCACACAGGGAAAAAAGAAGCTGGAACACAGTCTAAGCTTTGTGCAGGGGCTTGCATATAGAGCACATAGTGTTGGGGTAACCAGGCAGTGCAGCTGGCCTTTCACAACTATGCAACTTTAAAGCAGTGTTTAAATCAAGATGCAAAAGATAAGAATCCTGTTCTCCCACATGAACACACACATAGAAGGGAAAGAAAGTGATGGAAAGTGAAACAGGGAAACGAGGAAAAGATGAGCCTTCAATACAGGACTACAGCAGTAGCTATTTCAAAGTCAATATTAGCTTAAATAAATAGCTGCAGCAACAACTTTCTTTGGTTTCTAACATTACTGCTTATAAAACTGTTTCTCTGCTTCATTTGAAGGGTTTCCCTGTTTTTTTTACTGTGCTACCCACTGATATGTATTGTTCATTGAAGGTTAGCAGGTCATGAAGCTGCCAAACTGACTTTTTCAGAAGTGCAATTCTATAAATAATGGAAACCTGTCAGATAACCTATTAACAGTAGTAAAACTATTAAAACGCTTGCAAAACATGGCTGCTGCTGCTGATGGACAAAATTGGTATATTTTTTTTTAAAGTGTAACACTTTGTCCCTAATATAAAATGATTTAGTGTACAGTCTAACTGAACCTTTGTATTTGCAGCTTCAGGTATCATCTCTTTGTAGATTTGATGTTGTTGTCTTTTATTTTTTTATGATAAAATAGTTTCCAAACCGGCGACCTATGGCTGCAACCCACATGCATACAAAGTAAGTCATTTTGGCAAAACTGCTCAGCAAGAAATATGAAAACATGCCAATGAGTTCATCCTCCCGGCCCCCAAACCCTCTCCACAACATTCCTTTCATAAATGTGCAGTACTGGAGTATTTTTTTTAAGAAACCGGAGTGAGCTGGTATGTGGATGGGCCCATTATGTAGCTACTTCTATGGGAGGTCACCTTTATCACTATCAGATCTCCCCTTATGTTCTGACCCATGGCCCAGTAGTTCTTTCAAGGCTGGGTGACCATACTCTACGAAGGCCAACCCTCCAACTTACTTACTGCACACCCATACTCCCCCATCTCCCCCACTGTCCATATAGCTACACACCGATGCACAGAAACACAAATATAATTTTGCTCCTTCTTGCTGTGTGCGTTGGCACCTGCATGACAGAGCCCTTCTTGTCTCTGACATAAGTGTGAGCAGCAGGCATGGCAGCATTCTATAACAAAACATGTTTATCCCCACCAATTACCATCCAACTCATCCCCATTGCTTGTCCAATTTCAATCTGTGAAAAAGTCTGACAATGTGTGTTGCCGAAAGGGAGGATATTTATCTTCTTTTCCTCTGTGCAGCATCATAGCACTTGCTTTTCATCCCAGAGCACCCTCCCCCTACTCCCTCCTCCTTCTCTCTACCTCCTGCAAGCATTCCTGCCCCTCCCCCCCTTCAGTCATTCCAGCCGGTATGGATCTGTGAAATGTTGGCAGGGTGTGCTGCTATGGCATAGAGCCTCAGCTGTAGGCATGGGGATGTGAAAGAGAAAGAGGTGAGGAAGATTATCTCAGAAAGTTGACTGATTTTTCTGGGTCCTTTTTTTTACCCAATCATGACATGCTGGCTGCGTACATTCGGCAGCCATGTTCCACCAACCAACATATTTGTAATGTGGCCATTGACCTAAAGGCCATTGCGCTTCGTAGATATGAATAATCAGTCAAACTCTTACCCACTCGAGCTAATATGAGCTGTAGTGGGAGTGGAAGTCAACAAGTGGTTTGTAATTAACAGATGTTCTGTAAATAATTTTGCTCTGCTTCTCTTGCAACTACAGTACAAAAAAATGAAATAACTCATTCTTTGATTTTATGGTTTGAAATGAGTTACGATTTATTGATTCATTAGTAAGAAAGTCTGATCATAGCTTAGAGTAATGTACAATAAATGGTACTGATAACCCAGTGCCTCAGACACTTGTAACACACTTGATGCTGGGAGAATGCGTGAAAAGAAAGGAAGATCACTGTAGGCTATAACAATCTCTTTTTATTCTCTATTCCGAACAATCAATTTAAAACAGTCCTCACAGGTACCATTATTATAAAAGGCCAAATGTTTATGTCATGTCTCTGCATACAGTAATAGAAAGGATATGACATTCTAAATCAGATAATATACGAATAATGAATGCTGTTCCAAAAAACCACTCTGTAATATTCATTGGGCGCTCACACAAAGACAGATTTATTCCTTCCATTCATTATTAACATCATATTTGCTGCCCAATATTTTTGCTCTGCTGTCCAGTTGCACTCTCCGTCTGCACTCACCCTCCTATTCCAAACTCAAGTTTCCTCTCTGCACTTCCATCTCTCTTCCCATTTCTCTCTCTCTCTGTCTCTTTCTATCCTGAAGTGGTTGCATTTCATTTTTGGTTTCTCGAAAGAAAACTTCCTTTTGCCTGAGTTACCACTATAGACATTGCAGTGGTTACAGCATTCCACAAAGCCTAGCTGTGTTTGTGATACCTTGATGGCTTTCTCGCACCATCGGAGGATTAAACTGAATTCACATTGATTTTAAAGATGGCTTCTTTTTCAGACTGCCTGAGTGATCTCAGTGCTGAGGCCCTCTGCCATGTCAGAGACTGCATCGGGAACTTCCTGCACGTCCCCGCTCAGGTTCACCTCCTTTTTCAGTTCAAAGTCACTCTGCTCCTTGATAGGCATCTCCTCTGGCTTTTCATTACCATTAACGCATTCCTCTATCTGTGTGGCAGCAGAATGTGTGCACTCTCCATTCACAGCCGGAAGTGCATCTACTTCTGCCACATCCTTTGTACCAGAAGGGCTCCCTATATCTCCATTTTCCATCTTGCTTTCTACCTCAGGCTCTGGGCAAGGCACCTCTTTCACAGAGGCCTCAGCTACCTCTTCGGACTCAGCCGTAATTTCGCTGGCAGAGACAGACTCTGAGATGACAATCTCAGGGACAGGTTCTGCTGCTTCTGGCTCAGCTGCTGCCTCAGTGCTGGGGGCTTCTGTTGCAACTGATTCCTCTACTACAGGCTGATATTCAGCGGGTACCTCCTCTGCTGCAGTCTCCAAGACCTCAGCTGATTCTGCTTCCTCATTCCCAAGTTGAGTAACCTCAGATGTGGCTATAATTGGTTCCGGCGCAACTTCTTTTACTTGTTCCTGTGCTGCAGATTTCATTGCATCAGCCACCTGCTCAGGCTCTGGCTGTAGTACTTGCTCTGGTTCTGGCTCTGGTGATTGTTCAAGCTCTGGCTCTGGTGCTTGCTCTGGTTCAGGTTGTGGCTCGGATGCTTCCACTGATACTTGCTGTGGCTCTGATTCAAACTCTGCTGCCAGCTCTGGATCTAGGGCTTGCTCCAGCACTGGCTCTGCAGCTTGCTCAGCCACTGGCTCGGGTTCAGGGACAGCAGCAGGGACCACTGTCTCCTCCAAAGTGGCTTCTGGCTCAGTAACAGTCTCTGGGATGGGCTCTGGCTCTTGGTCCTTGGGTGCTTCCTCTGTGGTGACGGGAACAACCTCTGGCTCTTTAACAATTTCTACAGCTAAAGCAGGTTCTTCTACAAGGAGCTCTTCAGATGCAGCTTCAGACTCAACCTCAATTGGCACAGGTTCCTCTGCTGCTGCTGCTGCTGCTGCTGTAGCCTCTGGGAGCTCTACTGGGGCCTGTTCCTCTACTACTGAGGCTGACTCCACTGCTGCTGCAGCTGGTTCCTCTATTGCTATAACAGGTTCCTCTACTGCTGCAGCTGGTTTCCCTGCTGGTGGAGCTGGTTCCTCTACTGCTGCAGCTGGTTCTTGTGCTACTGGAGCTGCCTTCTCTTCTGCAGAAGGTGGTTCTTCTGCTGCAGGAGCTTGTTCTTCTACTGCAGGAGCTGGTTCTTCTGCTGCAGGAGCTTGTTCTTCTACTGCAGGAGCTGGTTCTTCTGCTGCAGGAGCTTGTTCTTCTACTGCAGGAGCTTGTTCTTCTACTGCAGGAGCTGGTTCTTCTGCTGCAGGAGCTGGTTCTTCTATTGCATGATCTGGTTCTTCTGCTGCAGGAGCTGCATCCTCTTGAGCTGCAGGAGCTGCCTCCTCTGGAGCTGGTTCCTCTGGAGGTGCAGATTTGGGCTCTTCTGGAGCCTTTACAGCTTCAGTTACTGCTGCCACAGCTGACCCCACAGCTTCCTTTACCACATTGCCTGCCTCAGTTGTCACTTTAGCTTCTGTGGGCGGGGCTCCGTCCTCCAATTTAGCAGACTCCTCTGCACCAGCAGCAGTCGCTGTGGACTCATCCTTCGTCTCTTTGGGATCGCTCACATCATATCCTTTCCTCTTCCTGCTCAGTTTGCCTCCCATGATGTCTCCTAGGAACAAGTAGATGAAGGTGTATTTTAATATGAGAGATAAAACATTGTTTAAAAGGGGCCTTGCTGGCTGGGTTAAAGCATGTTATGAGGTAATGGTGCTAACCAATGAACAACTATGCCACCCAAGCACTGACATGATCCTACTTTACTGAGGTACTTCTTAGGTTGTAATAATGTATACACAACATGTGAACATTAGGAATGTATTTTGTCATACTTTCCAAAATTCAGCGTGAGTTTGACTTAGTTCCTTCAAATGTAACAATGTTTTGTCAGAAAGGAGCATTGAGAGAAGTCTATTGTCTTGAAGTGAACTAGAAGTTTAATTCGGAAACTGCTCTCAGCCAAACAGTTTGGCGAGAACACAAATGTAAATGTATGGGAACCTTACTTAGATCAGACAACTCAACAGAGCCCCTACCCTTTCAGGAATGTTGGGTAAGGCTCAATGTCAAATGAGCCCACAACTCTTAGTTGAACATTATGATAGATGTAGAACTATTCCTCTTTCCGTATGACAAGCTACAAACTACATAGTTCACATATGCAATTCACAACCTGCAGTTACATTCACATACAAGATATATGTGAATACAGCAAACATTTACTAGCTAGTTGTACAACTAGTTCTTTGTGTGAATGTGTCAACACTGCTGTGGCCATAGAGGAAGAGTTTCTGATTGCAACAGAATGGAGCTTCCTTTCAGTGACAGAATAGAGAACTGGAAGTTTAACTTTAGCTTACTGATAACGTTTCAGCTGATGCTGAACAAATCAACCTGTTTAAAAACAAGAGAGCCCTCAAACAGATGGAGATTACAGGTTACATTTATTTTAAATGCCACAGCCTGATTAGTTTATCTATTTCGGTTGGAGAGAGGCTATTACAAGAAAAGCTGAAAATAGGCGATTATGTCCAAAATGTTACAAGCAGGACTTTTACTGCCTCAGAAGGTAGGAACAACCTGGGAACTGTCCATAGTGCTGCAATGGAGCAATCAAGACAGGATGCGCCATATACCATAATGGGATACAAGCTATCCGTTACACCAATCTACAGTCAAATGAACAGGTTATTATATCTGCTTTTGCAACAACGGAGACAGAATTCTGCTGTTGGACCTACTGCTAACTAATCAGGCATTATCTTCTTATGTGATTGATTTCTAACTTGCCTATTTTTTTGCCAATTCTTCTTGGTGCCGCTGGCCTAAAAATCACATAAAGCAAAAATGTACAATTTAAGGAGAAAGCCCGAATATTTTGAGATCAAATCATCGTGGATATTTTTCCACGCGAGTTTCAGAGTAAATACATGAATGTACCATCCACACAAAGCTTTATCACACACAATTAGAAATATAAAGACACGCAGAGGTACGGCAGCATGTGCCGGCTGGTAACAAAGGATGGATTCCTCACCAGTAGACTCACTGACAAAAAGTAATGTGAATGGGCTTAATTGCCAGCAAACACTGATGATAATATGTGCAATAGTGGGGGATATACGCCTAGGCTATACTGTACAGGGGAATTACACTACAGTGGCCATGAACACTGGAGTGATAAAAGCTGTAGAGGGGTCTCCATCCCCCATTTCAACCCGCCCACCACTGCTTCTCTCAGCTGCTCTGCCCTTTTTGTTCACGAGCATTTGAAAACGTCGTAGCCTACTCACACGACCATGCAAAAATAAAACGAAATTCACCACAGTAACGAGTAAATACATAATGAGGACCACAACTTCATAACTTTGTTTTGCGCCTTTCTTTATCCCAGTTATTTTTTAAATAGCCAGGCCTGAAAAAAAACAGCTACCTCAGAAGACGCACTAAATCAAATCCGACCTCTTAGAACGGGAAAGAGAGAAAAAAAAAAGCCTGTCTTCATTATGCAAGTCTTGAAATGTTCTATTATGCAAATTTGGATAATAGGAGAAAGACAAAGCGAGAGAACAATGGGTAAGCTGCTGCTCAAAGGCATCTGTCTTTCTCACTCACTTCTCTTTTTTTTCATTTTACCCACGGAACATAGATCCTACACTTGAAACTGAAACTGAAAAAATAAAGCATTAAAAAACTGAAGCAGTGCTCTGCATTAGACCGACCTGTATTCCTCGAAAGTGATCACTTGGGCTTCTTTTCCAGGCTCCGGCTGGATGTGATTATGGAGGTAAACCTTAAGACTGACAGCTGCAGATTCCGCCCCTGCCTCCGAGGTGCAGTCTGGGACTGTGTAGGAACTGAGGAGTGCCTCCTTTACAGTTTTCTAGACATCTGTCGCTATCACAATCCAGCCCACCCCTGCCCCCTCTGCAATCTATACCCTCCCAATATTTAACCCCTCCTCTCCCGCACACACCCACTTCAGAGCATTTTTCTCTGTTGCGTAAATACATCTGCGGACTGGGGGTAATTTTGAGCAGACTTGCGCTAATTTTACGTTGTAAAATGTCCATTTCTGCTCTGCTCTTGCTTTGCGAAAGAATATTGCCGTAGGATTTCATGTTAGTCCGCTCCCCACAGGAGTATAATAGCTATAATATAAATTATGCATAGGAGGCCGAGGCATTATGCCAGTAAAGTCATTATGCAGCGCGCGCGCACACACACACACACACACACGGTGATTACTCGCCAAAAGAAAATTACAGCGATTCCTTGATGTTTTCTCCCTTCTCTTGTTACATGCACGCTCATCTCTAGTTACGTCATACAAAGCAACCTTGAAAAAGAGCAAAACACGTTTTGAAGAATTCTTAGTAAAATATAAAGCAAACCAATTTTATTTGGTTTAAAAGTATTGAATTGAATATACATGCTTGCAAAATGTGGTTTATTCTTGAGCTGTGGTAAACTGTTGATATATGAACTTTGGTGTGGGCTTCTGAATAACTCATCTAAATCATGCAACATTATAAATTATTGGAACAGGCTGTGTAAAGTATTTATAGTATGTGCAATCCCATGCCTGGCTTTAAATTAATGTACAGTTCTTGTGGAGGACCAAAGGTTCACTCTAATGTTGTGAAGTATTTTGATGCATTGCGCCACGTTGCTATTTGCCTTCCATGTGTTATAGGACAAGTTGGTCCGGGGTGAGACTTAATGAAATTCAACAACTGGCCCTTCCAGGTGAACATGTTGTCTTCTTCAACAGTTTGACCGAGGCACCATGCCACTGACACACCGCCAGGTTGAGGCATATGAAAACCATTGAAGACTATCAGATAATGTGTATACTAATCAAATAATGAAGACATTTTATCCTTCTCCAACAATATAAAACATCTCATATCTCTTCCAACAGCGATCTATTTGTTTCCACTGTGAAAAGAAAGGCAAGATTAGGTGTCTCCTTTAGTCACACAAACACAGTTCTTCCTTGTGAAACTGGAATCCTGGCACCGTTGAGAGTGATTTCTTAGGAGATTTTAATACAATTTAAAGAATAGTGGTTACTTTATATGTATACACTCAAAATACATTAGCAAGGAATGCATGTCAGTACATGAAAATAGATATGATATATATATATATAGATATATATATAGATATAGATATTTCATAACATTTTATATGTTTTCATTTAACACAGATTTACTCAGACAGAATATATGTTCAACTCCAGGGTGTGATAGCCTACATCGAAATGATTTCAGTAGTTTAGAGACTGTTATTTTAAGGGATTTTTAATAAAAAATATGTGTCACTCATGTTGTATTAATGCAAAACACACAATATTATTGAGGAGACAGCACCCTCTCCTGTTACAAGAGTCCATAGCATAGCACCTGTGAAGAAACCTTGATGTGCATCAAGATCAATGATACACGATAAACCGTTTAGATGTAAAAATTAACCAATTTCAATGTTATATGCAAATATCTCTGTTGATGATAAATTAAATATTCCTGGTTCATCCAGTATGTTACCACAAAAAAAATGGAGTGTAAGAAAATATCAAAAAAAACTAAAAAATAAACTGTCACAGCAATGTTGAAGAAAAAAACAGATTTCTGTTTTATAGTTGATCCACTAAATTCTTGTTTCTATCTGTCATAAGATCCACCTTGTTTGTTTTCCCTGCTGGTAGCAGAGCTAAAGTGACAAAGCGGCAGTAAAAGCTGAATTTCACATGATGCAAAAGCTCTGGAATGCATTCCCAGGAGTATAACACCACTTCAGCCAACCACACTGCTCCACATAGACAGAGGACTCACAGACTGGGAAGGCCTTGGAAAATCCCCCAGAGCTTTCATGAAAATGTCCAAATCTCTGTCTACCAGTCCTGGGCCTTTTGGCCTAGACTGACCTAAAGACTGAAGATGTGGAGAAATAAAGAAACAGGTGTTGGGTGCGACAACCTGCTACGAGTCAATAGCTTTGTGTGTGCAGGAATGTGCAAGAATCACTGTGTTGAGGCTTTCACATATTTTATGAATGAATGAACTGTCAATAATCTGATTTCAGAAATTTTACTTCAGAATTCACAGCCAATTTCCCAAAGTCATTCAATAGAGCGTCTCACACTGTTTTCAACAAAACTCTCAAAACATTTATGAAATGGCCTGAAATGAATGATTTTGAGCACAGTTGTTGAAAGTCACACTTATTGCTTGTCATTAGAGACGCTATTTAGTTGTTAACTGTGCTGTGACGCATACTGTGGTTCACCAACAGAAAATGTCAGCAGTGTTAACAAGACCAAGGTGATACACAAAAGCATAATAGGTGCAATGTTAAAGCATTAGAAATCAATGTATGACACCTGCACATCAACCCACATCCATTTGTAATTTTGACCTGATGCAGATTTGGTTTTCCAATGATTAAATAAAAGCTGTTTGTGGATATCTGCATTTAATTCTAAATAATTTGATCTTTCATAATTCTTGATAAATAAATGCCATAAAACTCAAATAAAGGGAAGTTATAGATTTTCTCCATGAATATGATGGCAGTTAAAATGTGTAAAATATTAGCCATTGGAAGAAAAGGGAGGAGAGGTGCTTTAAATGGTTTGGTTATAATTTCTACATATTCAGTTTCAGAGAACAACAGCACCCTCTAATGGAGACATATCTCACAAGAGTATGAATAGTATGAAATATGAATGAAAATGCATATACCACAGAGCCTAATTTTGAGATGCTAAAGGTTGATTCAGAATGGATTTAATTTATGACCAAATGTATGATGGTTTCCAAATGAATTGGTTCAATTTATATGTGTTTGACATCTTAATCCAAGAGATGCTATTGAATAATAAGGTGACCAGGTTCCAGATTTCCAGAGTTCACTGCCTGAGGTGATTTAATAAAAAATGGACTAGTGCAACTGTTGCGAGAGGACCGCTCGTTTTTTCTCCATGCAACGGCTTTGAATAAAATTGAATAGCCATCTAACACCTGACATACTTGGAGAACGAACATTTCGAACTGTGTAAAATCCCTGTAAGTTTCTTGGGTCAATTGAAAAGTTAAAACCACACTGGATCACGCACCACAGAAAAATGCTCTTGGCTAAATATTCTATTGGCTTTAAGCACGTTGAACCTCGCCACAAGTCCATTGTTGATGTCACACAGTGTTCTCCAGCAGCTGGAGGAAAACCTGCAATGACATCACTTATTGGCATGTGACCAGAAGTGCTTGACGGTATGAACTCACGTTTGAACCACAAAGATTAGTACTTTATTCACATATACTTATCACATTTGTAAAAATGCATGTTCATGGTAATCATCAAGGAGAAAAATAACGAAACTGTATTGCTACTTTAGAAACGTCAGTTAGATGTGCACCCACCCCTGCGCGGCGTAGCAGTCAATGAATGCAACGCATCCTTGGCTTGCTTGGATGAAGGCGGTGCTAGTGGTGGTGCCCAAGCAGCAGCAGGGCCTTGCCTTTGTGGTTATAGAAAGAGAAGATGGCTCCCGTTCTGGAGAAACAGCTCCCGGGCGCAGCCGGGGCAGGCGACAATAACAACGAAGAGGAAGAAGGACAAAACCTATGGCAAGTTTTTTTTATTGTTTGAACGACTTCATGTCTGCCGAGGCCTTTCTGTGAAAAACACAACCGTTATGGTTCTGCTTTGTCACTGACGCTCACAATCAAACACCGGCCCCGGCTAGCAGTAACATTAGCACCAGCCGAAGCAGGGCGGTCAGTGTGCTAACGTTACTTGTGTTAGCTGCTCAGCTAACGTCACCGAAGTGGACTACTTAGTGGTTAACGTTAGCCAAGGTTGTCCGTGTTGGCGTGCTTTCCAAATACATGGAATGTCTTTGAATCAACGAAACGTTTGAAGGATCCTTTCATAGTATCAGGGGGGTTGACAAGTGAATGTCAAGACAACACCTACATACTAGCTTCTTAATGCAGGATACGAGAAGCTAACAGGAACCTCAACAAGCTAACGTCACAATACCATACACGACTCAAGTAACGTTATGCAGAAACATACTGTTGTCTTTAGTCATCGCGTATCACAAGGGCTCGTAATGTTACTGTCATGAGGCTCAAGCTTGTGAGGTTGCATGCTTTGAGAACCCTCGCCAACGTTATATCAGTGGACATGACTTATCATTTCCTGTTGTGTGTGGTGGACACATCACTGGGCTAGCTGACTGAATAATCATCTTGGACCATACACGTAGTAGTTAAGCTATGTAACGTTAGCTGACCAATTAACGTTACCGTTTTGGTAGGAACTTATGTTTTGAGATAGCGAGCTGTTATTGTGTCACTTGACTGTCAAATCTAACGGTCATCTCTATGTTTCCTCAATATCTGTCTTGTTGTTTCTTGTAGGACCTCAATACTGAGTGAAGTTTCAACTACATCGAGTTCAAAGTTGCCATCGGGAAAAAATATCCTGATATTTGGTAAGCACAAGTTCTTGCACGTGTGAAAGTCTGTTTTTGCAGTGTATTTTTAGTGGTCAACCCTGAGGGGAGTGGGCTGCACAACCACACTGATCTCACAAAAGCTAATGATTGCAAATTAAAACCGCTCTGACTTTTCAAACAGTCCGCTCTTTCTGCTGTGTTTCTTCCCACACTCTTGAGATGAAGACATAATAAACAAAAAATACAGAGAGGTCTTCCTGTGTGGGGACATACTTATTTGAGTTGGCTTTCCACAAATGTGAGAAATAGTGCTATTGACCAAAAATATTTGTGTGAGCCACTGACGGTCATGAGATCATGATTGCATTTGAGGTGGAACGGTGGTAAAGTCAAGATGTCTGTGTATAGGCAGGAAGTCGGAGTGATGATTTCTTGCCACATCACATACATTATCATTGGAAAATGTCTATAATGATATATATTGAACACTATTATGACTGCTACTAATAATAATGGATAACATCATATGTAAGCTGATGAATAAAATGTCTTACAGGTGAGGATGGATCCGGAAAAACAGCACTTATGGCTAAACTTCAAGGAACGGATCACAACAAGAGAGGCAGGGGACTGGAGTATCTGTACTTAAATGTCCATGATGAAGACAGAGATGGTGAGTTTACCTGCTGTAGCTTCACTCGTGTTTGTTTTACAGCCTTTACAAAATAGCAGTAGTTTAGAGAGCAATGATAAGATTGCTTGTATTAAACTGGTATTCGGTTTTCCTTTTGCAGATCCTACTCGCTGCAATGTGTGGATCCTGGATGGAGACCTATACCACAAAGGCCTACTTAAGTTTGCGGTTTCAGCTCAGTCACTACCTGACTGTCTAGCTGTGTTTGTTGCGGATATGTCACGGCCCTGGACCATTATGGAGTCACTGAAGAAGTGGGCCAGTGTGCTACGTGACCATGTTGACAAGCTAAAGATGTCTCCAGAGGACATGAGAGAAATGGAGCAGAAAAGTAAGTAATGTTTTACGACTTAATCTGCTCATATGTGACTTGTATCGTGGATGGTATCAAAATGAAACATCAAGGCTTTTATTTTGAAAATGTAGCTTAGTTTGTTGTAGAGTGTTTTTTTGCTGGCTCTTGCTGGACAACCATGCGCCAACTTCTAGAAGTCTGGGTTATAGCTAAAATCTCAGAGTTTAGAACATGTACATTGTTGTCATGTCGGTAGCCTGTTCCCTGGTGGAGTAGTTGTCCAGAGTAAAATGAACATGGAGGTAATAAGACTGAAGATTGAATTTGATTGATGAAGTGGTCAAATGTTGGCAACGAATCTCGTGTAATTCCAAACGGGTCTTTCTTTTGTTAAAGCAGTCAGTTTGTTAAGACTGATACAATTTGGTGATTTGTTATGATTTGTCATCTTATGTCTCAACATGCAAAAATAAAAAGCATACATATTTTTGAATTATATGTCTAGGTAGAGGGTTTAAAGGAAACCGCACTGCGTGAAGCACCCCAATTTGGAATCAATGGGAGTCTTCCATAATAAGATCCTTGCTGTCTGGCTACAAGGGGGGAAAAAGAGACATTGGTAGCTGCGTAGCATGGAAGTTCAAGCACTGTGTAACATTGCACATTGTCATGGATGTTTCTAGGTCATCATCAGAGAGGCCCATGATCCTCAGCTGTGTGTTCTGGCTGTAGGCGAGTTCTGCAGATCAATGTGTGTGTGATGCACTCCTGTTGATTTTTAGAACTGGTTATCTCTCACTTATGAACGGTTCTTTTGTGTTTGGGGAAAATGCTTTTGGAGGTTGCAAGATATTTCAGCCTGCAGGGTTTCACAGAAGGTTCGTGTCCGCCACCAAACCCTGCTTGCTGCTGTTTTTACGAGTCTGAAATGACTTTTCACAACGAAGTCAAACTGTTTGATTTCAGATGAGTTTGACAAAACGGGTCTAAAAATGTTTCCAGCATTTAACATGCTAACACAGTGACAACTGGTATCAAGTCTGCTGGCAAACGTGAAAAAGAAAAGGGAAGCTGGTAGCCAAGTGATGACAAAAGCAAACAAAAGTGTTGTAGTGACTTTGAATGGGTCCACATTTTCAACTTGCTTTACTGACTTGTTTAAGTTCAAGTGGCTTATTAGTTATGCAGTAGAAAGGAAATGTATACATTATAGCTATCAATAGATGCCGGCTTGAGCACACATTACAGTTGTAAATTTGCTATCGTAGTGTTTACTGTAGAAATCTTCACAATTTGGTACATTTTTGTTTTTTTAGATTTTCTAGAGTTCCCTTCTACTTCTTCTTCTCTTTGGCCTTTTGACATGGTCAGATTCCCAGTTCAGCTGAGACATATCATCAACATAAAGTACCTTCCAACATGTCATTTGTGATGTCAGCAGCAGATTGGTGAGACCTAGTCAGATTACATATTTGTAGATATGAGCGTCTGACAGACAGACAGACTGGAAGTGTGTGTGCTCTTGTCCAGGGAGTCTTGCAGGAGTCTTGCATCATGGTTCCCTCCCCTCCAACAGCAGCGTCAGAGAAAACTGAGTCTGAAGTCAGTCAGTGGGCCGGACATTCTGTCTCCTGTTATGCTGTAACTGAAGTAGTCTGCCTGCTGGAGTCATCTCAAGTTGAATTACAGGACCAAGCTATTGCTGCCTGCACAATGCCTTGAAATGAAAAATATATCACTTGGTGACAACACGGGGATGTTTCTTTTCCCTACAGTATCTGGGAATGGTGTGAAGGCAAACATTGAGTCTATTTTGTTTTCCCTCTGTTTCACTTTTTTATTAAAGGAAATAAGTATTCTGACACCTGTGAAAACATTTTAGTCATGAGCCAATAACATAACCAGGACAAAGATTAAGACTGATGTAATACTTTGGCTTCTCTTACAATAGCCAGTGAGATCAAATTTACTTATTTGACATTTAGTTGACTGTAAATGACACCCTTTATTTGTAGCTAAACTTAAGCTTTGAGTTCACTGACATCTTGGATATATACCTATTGGATTGATGCATGTCATTCTTTTTAATTTAGTGAATGGTTAGCAGCTCTCGATTATGTGTGGCGATGTATTTTGACCGCACCTTTATTTGTGGACAGATAGACTGTCCCATAAGACCTCTTTGTCTTTCTTTTTTTTTTTTTTTTTTTTTGGCTAGTAGCTGCTCCTATTTTATGCTTTGTTATCTTTTCTCTTGTCTGTTTTCATTCAATAAATCTCCTGCCACGTCTTAGCTCAGCAGATCCCGTGTAAAGCTTAATGTCTCGGCATTAGAAAAGGATTAGATGAAAGTATGTATATAAATGACATTTGTAGGTGTCATTTAAATTTTTGTCAAACTAGGTTTAGCTGTCATCTGTAGACAAACTTCAACTGAAAAGTGAAACATTTTGGATGGTGTCAAATCAGCATTTTAAATTCCTGGTGTACAGATTCTATCTGTGCTGTGCACTGGATTTGTGTAATCCAGGAGGGTTCCCCTTTAGATTGCTTGTAACTCCAGTCCTCTCCCCATATACCAAGTCCCATGTTTGGAAGTCAAGGAGATGGCTCAAAACAGCAAGTCAATCTGGCTTTGTGGCCCAACTACATTTCCGAAGCTCCTGAGGAAGTAGGCCAAAGCTTCCTGCATATAACCCCCCAGCCCACACACACGCGCACACAAAATCACCAACTCATACAGCGCTGCAATTGTCTGGACAGCACAACAGGAAGGTGAAGGATGCCATGTAATTCACCTGAGGTCTATGGTGTGATGGTAAAGATTCCGTCCAATCATACAAAACTACACAGGACCTATAATGGTAGTGATTTGCTAGATGTGTATTTACATTTGGAATCTTCTTCATCATTCATTGGGCAGGAGTAGTCATATTTTATTTTGCCAATTAAGTGCAATGCATTTAAATTAACTCTATGATAATCTCATCTCTAATCCCAGAGACATAGTTTAAGGCTGAGCACAACGATTAACACCATTCTATAAAAGCAAGTTTATAGTTCTGCATCAGAGTATTAAAGCAAAGGCTACGAATGGTTACGTAACTTTACGAAAGGTCCTCCCAAAGATGATGTGCACCTCCAAAAAATGATCTCTGTGGAGACCACAATAACTTTTTCAGCTTTCAAATTGTCTGAATTCTTACCGTTTGCTCCCTTTGTCTCTCCACTAGTGGTGAAAGTGTTCCAAGAGTACACAGAACCGGAGGATGCCCCCCCATCCTCTCCACAGAGACGGGCCCCGACAGCAGGGGAAGACGAGGCTGTTGTGCTACCACTTGGGGACAACACGCTCACACACAACCTGGGCATTCCAGTGCTAATAGTTTGCACAAAGGTAAATTCTTCTTACAGCCCCAATTGTCCTATGTGAAGCCATGGACTCTTCGAGAGACAACTAATGTTTTGGTGTCGCGATAAGAGTTTTTTAAAAAAGGTTTTATCAAAGTTTTTCAAAAGGTACTTGTATCTAATGTAGGGCGTTTGCTAGTTCTCTGAATAATACTACCAACATACATCCTTCAAATCCTAATACTTATGGCAGTTGTCATAAAGCATTAAATCGGTGAACCATGCCGACTACTTGAAAGTTGCAACTTCCCGTAAGTCACACCTGCAGCCTCCACAACTTAGTTTTTAGAAAGGATACTTATTGTACCGTCTATTTTTGCCTAATGAACCATGGTGTCCAGCTTCAAATCATGAAGACTAAATCTAAAATGGCAAAATGAACACTGGTTTAAATAAGCTACCGCTACGTGGTGGAGTTCCTCTGCTGGTAAATGTAAATACGATTTGTTCAACGTCGCCTTCCAATTGGACTTCACATTTGTAAATCTTATTTTTCATTTTTTAATCATGTAATGTACATTTGTGATCAATTTGAGATCAACCGCTCCATAGTTTTCCGGAACCTCTTTCGGACCATCTGTTTCGAGCCACCTGCGGCCATGACGTAGCCTCTCTAAACTCCCCTTCCACCCTTGGCTCTGCTTTTCTAGCTTTTGCAGCCACACTTCTGCAGTAGGGGTAACGCATAGTAGCTGCTATAAAAAACAACAACAACAAACACGATTTGTATCTGCCCATATGGATCATCAATGATCGGCAAAAAAGTTACATTTGCCCCCTTTTTTCTCTTCTGCTGCTCCGATCTGTACATTTTATGCGTTGCACCCTGAACAGAAAGCCTTTAATGCTGTTCTCACTGCTGGTTTCCTCTAATGGGTTCTTTAATTGCCTCCATGATGAGCAGAGCACATTTGGGCTCAGACCCTATGAACTTTTGTGTGTGCTTTATAATGTTGTAATTTGTGAGACCGTCTCCTCTAATAAAACACTGTCATTATACTTGCTTGTTAACCCTCCAGGCAAAGACTACTGCTGAAACACACAGTGTATTTATCAGCAGAGCTTCACATGCTACCCGTGACAAGACAATGGTGAATGTGCCTCTGTCCAGCCCGTATAAGAGAAAAAGCATTCAACTTGGCAGAAAAAAAGTCATTGTTCGAGATCACTATTTGCTGTTTAAAACTATTCAAACTGCTGTTGGTCTTCTTCTGAACATCACATTCTGTCATGAATAATCATGGAAGCTTCACTACTGACCCACGGACAGGAAGTACTGTATTTCAGTGCTTGTCATTGCCACACCACCGCGCACGGAAATCTCTGCTCCGAGCAGAAATAGTTGTGGAGGTGTCCATCCTTCCAATCACCACCAACTCATTCTCCCTCAGTCATCTGCCATCACTGTCCTCAGCACCAGCTCTACTTTCTGTGGGTGGCCAAATGATTATCACCAGGCAGACTAATATCAAAAACAACAACAACAACACAACTGCTCTGTTAAAATGTTGAGCTGTATTTTCCTGTGCACTTAAAAAAAACAACTGTTGGAACACAAGCCTTTGAAGGGGAGCATATGGGTTTGTGTATTGCTCCTGTGTCTCTCTCTGTCGGTGTGGTATGACGAAGAGAGAAGACTCCGTCATTACAGAATTGACTGATGCAGAGAGCAGCAACCTTGTTCATATTTGTGACTGCTGCCATTTTGATGTCGGTCATTAAAATATGTATCTCTTTCCCTCTCAATCTTATGTCCTTCAGTGTGATGCAGTCAGCGTACTAGAGAAGGAGCACGACTACAGAGAAGAGCACTTCGATTTCATCCAGTCCCACATTAGGCAATTTTGCTTACAGTGTATCCTTTTTATCTATAATTGTTTGTTGTTCTTGAGAGAAATGTTAAAAAAAATTTTCAAATGACCCATATTTTGTTGATTATCATCTATGTGATTACCTCAACAATTTGTTGCCTTAATGGAATGAACCAGATGGAGCTGGTCTGATCTACACTTCAGTCAAAGAGGAGAAGAACATGGATCTGCTTTACAAATATATAGTGCATAAGATGTACGAGTTCCAGTTCACCACACCGGCCTTAGTGGTGGAGAAGGATGCAGTGTTCATGTGAGTGAAGATAGAGATGAACTAGTTTATTGAGTTTATCGTGATTCTTTGATTTATTTATTTATTTATTTTTTTTGTCTGTCTGAGGTTATTGTAACATTTGGGTAATTTTTCTTTCTGTATTTGTTGTGAATCATATTCTATAAATCAGTTTTCTTCCAAGGAAATACTCTTAACAGAGTTTACATCATTGCACCTGCTGTAATTGGAACGGTCTTGTCTTTCAGTCCATCTGGATGGGATAATGAGAAGAAAATTGGGATTTTGCATGAAAACCTATCAACAGTCAGACCCGAGGCTCCGTTTGAAGATTTTATCACGAAGCCTCCAGTACGAAAGGTAATGGCAATGTAGTGAGCAAAGGTGAACTTTAGATAATGACTTTACAACCCACAGTTACATAACTGCATGCGTTCTCCTTTGCTCTTCTTCACAGCTGGTTCATGAAAAAGAGATCAATGCAGAGGATGAGCAGGTATTCCTGATGAAACAACAGGTAAGTGTCGGTCTGTCTTTCATATTTCATGATGTCTGTCTACAAAGATATCTAAAATGAAATATAATGCCAAAGAATTAGGCTGAAATTTAGTGAACAGCTAGATACAAGAACCAGTCAGTTTGCTTGATTTAAGTGGCATCCTGAACTGCCATTTTCACTATTGAACAAATTTCTATACTGTTCTCGTGTTGTGGTGAACATCTGAAAGTTCCACATGACAAGTCACACTGCCTTCACTTCCTATTTTGTGAACAAATGAACCAGGAACGCAATCAAACAACACTCAGCTGAGGCTTCAGTTTTGTTAGAGAAGTTAGAGAATTGTTTGTTGAGATTTCTTCCAAATTGTACTTGTATCTGCACTGACTGCCCCTCTATATCTAAGTACAGCTCATCTGACAGAAGTTGTAGTTTTCAAAAATGAGATGGTGTAATTATGTATGTTAGTAGGTTCAAGGTTAATGTATTGTCGTTGTACAACACAATGAAATGCAGTTGTAGTCACAAGAAAAGCCCAAAACAGCATTCCTGTAGTGCATTTTTAGTTCTGCATCAGGGATGTAAACGGATGCAACAGAAACACTGGTGAATATAATTAGCTTTCCAGAAATGCAAAATGAGTCAACCATTTTTGTTGAATTCACTTTGTGTCTTTTTTTTCTCTACAGTCTTTGTTATCGAAGCAGCCGGCCACACCAACAAGAGGAGCGACGGTACGTTTTTAACATCCCTCAATGGGGATTCTTGATGATTGATGGATTCATTCAAATGTTTTTGCACAGAATACTTTTTTCTCCCGACTAGATGAACCGGGTTATTTGTTTGTGACCACAGCTTTGACCCAGTTTCTGTGTTGCAGGAGTCTCCAGGACGGACAGCCTCAGGGTCTCCCAGGCCTGCGGGTCGCAGCGGCCAATCCAACGCGACCAGCGCCTCACCAATGGCTGCTGTCAAAAAGCCTGACCCGAACATGAAGGGTAGGAGCTCTACAAACACACTTTTTTTTCTTTTTTTTTTATATCTGATCATTGAGAATTTTTTTTAATCATCCATATTTATTGAAACCAATGTTTTGACCCCTGCAAAAAACTGTGCTGACTGCGGCAATATTGCCCCAAAGAGGTAACGTCTAAAAGGAATCCCTTAAGCAGAAATATTGACTTTCTCGCCTCCATTAAGTGCAGAAGTGCATTCCAACTAGAAAGTGTGTTCAGCCAGATTTAATAGAGGGTCAGTTAACCCTTGCCTATTGATGTTGGGAATTGTTAGTGGAGTTAATTGGATTTTTAAAGTTCTCTGTTTGTAGCAAGTTTATCAACACATTTTCTTTCCTGACAAAGGATGTTTTGATGAGTATTTCCTTATCAGAATCCTAAAATTTAAGGTATCATATGCTTTACTACTACAGTTTGTGAAGCCCGTGTGATTTTAGGGATGGATTACACGCACACACACACACACACACACCAGAGTGGGCAACACAACCCCTTCATAGGGATTTTGTCGTCAAATTTGCAAGATGAAGATGTGGCCTTATTTTGCAACAAGGTCATTATACGTGGCAGGAACAATAGATATTTAAGATGTATATCTATTAACTAAAGATATCCCAGACTGCTAATCTGGAATCATAACATTATGATATGTTGGGCATTAAAGCAGGATGATCTGTTAATATTTAGCCTGTGTTCTCAGTATTCTCAGTGTGGAGAAGGTAACTATAAACTCAATGATTAAGTATATGGTGGGTGATGGCTATTATCAAGTAACAATATGTACAACCTACTAAAAACCCCTCTTAGTATTGTTATATTTGACTTGAATTTTCCCCAGAAAAAGAGGGTTTCCTAAATGCAGATGTGATTTTAAAGCCCATGTTTCTCCTGCAGCGGGGGCTGCCAATGAAGGAGTGCTGGCTAACTTCTTCAACAGCCTGTTGAGTAAAAAGACCGGAGCACCGGGGAGCCCGGGGAGCCCAGGAAGTGGAGCAGTAGGAGCTGGAGTCCAAGGGTCCGCCAAGAAAACAGGTACAATCTCTCATTCCAGTGCTCTCAGCTCTGATCTCAGTGAACCGCCTCACTATTCATGCCTCCGTGCAGGCGACCGCCTTGGCCATCGGCATTATTATTGCATGTTGTCCGTCCATTCGTCCGGTCCATTCTCGTGAACGCAATATCTCAGGAATGCCTGGAGGAAATTTCTTCAAATTTGCCTCAAACGTCCACCTGGAGGCTTGAATCTCAAACCACGGCGTGACTCTACAAATGTAACGCTTAATTTTGTAATTATGAGTTGTAGATATTTAAGATGATCAAACTTTCTGCGCTCCACAGTTTGTGTAGCACCTCGTAAGGCTCTGGTCTAAAAGCATTCCTTAATGACATTTCCTCTCGTTATTACTCGTTTTTATTATTGAATGTAGTACACCCAATTCAACAGCTACAAAAATTAAGCAAGTGCTGCGCTGGTGTGTTTAAAACAATGTCTGACATGTGTACATTCTTGTCACGTTAGTTGAATTCCAATTAAATATACAGTATAGACTGTTATGATCATTGTTATGCTCATCTGACAGAGATCATCAAATACAGCGGCGTAACAACACACTGATGCAGCCAGAGACGGTTATAGAGCCTCTTTAATGCAGCTGTGCCACATGTCATATTTAATTGACGTCGCTTAACCAAGGAGGTCTCATTTGTTAAATGCCTGTTGCTTTGACTCCTCTCTCCTCACGTCTCTTCCTCACCTCCTTCGCTCGCATCTCCTGTGAGTGTGGCTGAGAAGGTCACTGCTACCTCACCTCCGTCCCGACACCTTGAGTAGTAGAGGGGGGGAGGGAGAGGAGAGAGAGAGAGAGAGAGAGATTTTTTTTTCTCTTTGACTGAACTTGTGACAGGCCTGTGTGCACCCAACCTTCTATCTTAAGTGCCCCTATAACATTAATGTTTCTCACTCCACGTCATATCCCTTTGCTCTCTTGCTCAACTCATTATTTTAGCTTGAGTAACCTCAGCTGTTTTGCATGTCAACTGTTCTTATTTTCAGCTCCAGCATATGTGTTTTTTTTTTTTTTTTTTTTATTTGACTTTGTTATATCAGGTAAATACAACAAAGTCAAATACTGTTTGTTTTGTGAAATGACTGAATGTAACCGGTGAGACATTGCAGAACTCATCTTTCCGACTGGGACCACTTCCTCTCCCAGCGCTGAGCACTGTTTTCTTCAAGGCCCCGCTGAAAGGATAATGCACGAGTACATGTTCCTTTTGTCTTATGATTAGTTTTGCATGAGTGTTAACTCCAGCATGGCACCTCATCAGCATCAATCCCCATCCATCTGCTTGCTGGCCATAGAAGAACGGTTTAATGAACACACACAGAGGCTACAGGAGATTACTTTTGGATTTTGTCTCCTGTTTTTTTTTTTTCCAAGGGCAGAAGCCGGGTTTGACTGACGTCCAGGCGGAGTTGGACCGGATGACTCGCAAACAAGACTCCATGGTTTCAACGAACAACGTACCAGCGCCGACCGAGAACGAAGCGTGAAGGCAACAAAAACCGCTGCGTCGCCCACTGCGTTAATACTCTGGAAATATACATGTACATGTGAGCATACAAAATTGACCAAATTCCCAATGTCTATATCAGTCAGCACACACGGTGGTTTCACCAAAATGAGTTTCAGATGCTACCAGATGTTTTGGTGTTCTGGTGAAATGGGAGGAGAGCAGAGATGGAGGTGTTTAATGAGATGATACGTGCTGATGGCTTGGCTTTATTTCTGTCCTCTCTTCCACTGTAAATGTTCTTCTGTGAGGGATGTCATTTTACAGAAATGAGTGCACACTCCCGGCAGGACCCCCCAGTCTCTGGGGTGAAACACCCCCTCTTCATGGGTTAAAGAGGGGAAACATACTGGTCATGTGGTTCAGCTTATCTCACGGAAGGAATTTGGTTGTGATTGGAAAGGCATTTAACTTTGAAATATATTCATTGATAAAAGTAATTGAAATACATGCAAACATAGGTAGTATGTAAAACAATGTTGGATATGATACTGATGTATTGGTACAAAGCTCCTTTTTCTTTTATTTTGTGCACCATTTATCGGGTTAAGGAAGCATTAATCTGTATCGCTTAAACGTGTTAAAAAATTCCACTGACGTCATGACACTAATACAAGTCCAAATCGCTGATATCATATCATTTGCCCTACTCATCTCGAAGGATTCTGTAAATATATACACAAAAAAAAATGATTCAGGTTAACTTTGATTTTTGTATAAAATGCAATTCTGTCCAAATTATGAAATCGCTTGTTTGACTAAATGAGACTGTTTGAGATTTGATGGGCTTAGAGGTTGCAAAGAGACCTTTAGCTACAGGTGTGTATATTTGGGGATGGGGTTGGGCAGCATCTTTCCTACTATAACTCCCAAGTGCCTCGCACAGTTAGCGGTTTGTGTCATAGTGGAGGTGCTCGTCTACACAAGAGGAAATGCACCGTAGCACCATCAGCTAAAAGGTTTTTGTCCATTTCTTGTCATCCAAATAATTTATTTTCGTTGTACATTTTTGTTAATGTACAACAAGCCTGTGGTCTGTTATTTTTCAGAAGGAAAAAAATGATTTCTGTGGCCTAGTTGATAGTATTCAATAGCGCTATAGATTGAATGCCTTCACACAAACTGTACAGGCTGCTGATATTAAGAAGAAACCACATGATGGAACTTTTGGATCCCCCAGGAGAACGCTTACTGTGGTTTAAAGGACTCGCTTTGGTGGTTTAAAAGACACACGATGAGATATTGTTTCCTTTGGCACGCTCCTCCGTCTGGTTCCACATGTTTTATTCACACTGTACTTCACATGTCAGTTAAAAACATTCCCAGTTTCTACATGCAGTAGCTGTAGAGACGCATCCCCTGTGGTGGCACCTGTTTGACCAGTCAGGCCTTTTTGTTCGGTCTCTTTCAGTGCCCGTTTCACATAATGACCTTTGCCTTTAAATTTACCACCAACAGTCACACTGGGCACCCTGCCTTCACAGGAATGCTCCTAATTCATTTGTGTGTCCTTAAAGGGTTGCTTCATTGTGTTCTGTAGTTTATTTCCTTTAAAAACTAATTATACATTATGCTGCACCATATCCAGTAATCTAATATTTATGGTTTCATGACACCATTATCAAATCAAAATGAATTAAGTGTACATTATCATTGACTGTATGCAAGGCCCTACTTAATCTTATGGAAAGTGTTCAGCAGCATTCACAGAACTAATGACTGTGAAGAGAGCAGCTATTTGCTGTTCAAACAATGGCAAAAAAGGAAAACTGGAGTGAATTGGGACATGGAACAAAGATGCATATTAGTCACTATTGTCTGCTTTTATAGTTGATATTCATCCATAAGATTAACCAGTGGCCATTGTTTGTCCCACCCTTGCATTCCAAACTTCAGATCTGCCTATGAACTCTTGTTTTGAGTAACACCCGATAAACATGGTAGCAATGCCTTGCTCCATTCAACCATATCTGGGGTTTCACGAGTCAAAGGAAAACAAATACCATAACTGTGTACAGTAGATTATGGTAAATTCTCTAAATTGGTCTGTCTACAAATGCAATTAGAGTTTCTCTTTATATTTGCTCTGTAAGGGAATAACCACAGGACCATATTGCTGTACAGTTAACTTGATGCACAATTTGATTTGTTATCAAAATGATGCTACACATCTGTTCTGGATTTACTTTTGATCCAATTGACGCTCTTGTTTTTATTTTTGCTTTGGTTTACTTTGTTTTGTGGGTGGGTGGGTGCGCCTGAGGGTCTGTTGCCCAAGTGGATGAAGCACAATTTAATGACAGCCAGGAGCAGCAGCAGCAGCACCGCCGCATGTTGAAATAAGCACTTTTCCTTGGACACTTGTATCAATTCCCTGTTGCTACAGTTTAAGATGCAGACTACATATTTTTCTTTTTGCCTTGCCTTTTTTTTTTTTTAGAACATTTAGTAATGAACCTAGAAGTTAATCTACACAGTAAAACTGCATTATTTATCTGCATTTGCTGCTTAAGTTATGGAAGGTGCCCCTGGTGGTTAACTATGGAATAACTGCTTTCTGCTGGTGATTTTGTACATTTGATCAATCCTTTTGAAATCGTCATAACACCTTTGCTAGGGATGTTTTAAAGACGTCGTTAAATAGATAAACCAAATAAATGTCTGTTCATTTTCAGGTTTTACCTTTTTGCCCATGAAACCTCCGCTTGTTTACGTTTACATCCTGATTAGGCGTGTTTTCTTTGTGTTGTCAAATACGGCTTTGCCCATAGACACCTTCTGTTTAAAATAGTTTTGAAATGCCACCCTAACCTGATTGACCACACGGATACGTCATATCATTATACATCATATTTCATATAACATGGCCACACTTGTTAAATTTGGCGTTTAGCCGAGTGGAATGAATTGCTCTCATGCTGCTTGGCTTCAAAGTTGCACTCGCTCTTTGTAACGGTTGGATGTCGCTCCCAATATTGAATAATGAACAGTTGTAACTTTTGTACCCAAACGTCAGTTGAAAGCAACTGCCTCCTCACATCCTAACTGAATTGCCTTCGACCACTATTGACAGCCTCCATCTATGTGAGACTGTGGGCTTCTGCTTCCAGTCCTTTTGTATTCCGGATAGCAACACATTGTAAGCACATGGCTGGCTGCATTTTTGTGTCCTGAATTAATTCAGAAGTTTGATTGTATGACTTTAACACATTTCTGTAGCCTTTAAGCTGCCGTGTGGATTCTCGCTTCTTACGCCGACAAAGATAAGGAAAATGTTCATCAGACCCCTGGCTTCAATAAAACCAAGAATCCAAACTTTGGTTGTCTTTCACATTTTTGTGTCTATTTATACAATGTTCAATGATTTGATTGACATATTGACTCTTAATTACTCCACAAACCCTAAATCCAGACTGCACTACAGCACACAACTATATAAATGAGTGACATTACTAATTAATGACAACCATGGTGCTGATTGCTAAATCCAAAATTGAAATGCACATTTTAAAACTGCTGATTCTTTTTCCATTGCACTGTAACATGCAGTCAAACACTGAAAGATCACAAGCATCACCAAAGGTTGTGTTTGTATAGCTATTCATATTGTAATTTAACAAATGGGCTAACAGGACTGTTTCGATGGAATTGCATTGCCAGACAACTGCTTGGGTGTTTACTTCCTGTCAGCTGATGTCATTCACTTTAACAGGAAATAAACTGGGACACATATGCTCTGTTTACATTTACAACTGTGAAATAGTCTATAGCCAGAAGAAGCCCCTCTTTGTACCATCACATATTATAAAAGATGAAATTACTACAGTCCCAATTAATTGCATTGTAAGGGTGAATCTTCACATTTGTATCCTCAAGTCTTTATTGTTTGTAGTCACCCAGCAGGGCCACTTAAAGAACTGAACTGACTGTAGTGACTGCACCACTTTAGATGAGGATAATGGCTGTTTGGATGCAGTTATTCACATATCGGATAGACTTGCAGCATCCTCTGCAATCACCTAGGCAAGATTATAATGCCCCTAACTACCACAAGAGGGCAGTAAAGTACACAGTCGCAGTTCATTCAATTTCAAGAAAGTTAGGCCTATCCCTGAAGTTTACTTGATCTGACATCTGATTTTAAAAAAAAAAAAAAAAAAAAAAAAAAAGATCCAGAATGTTTTGTTGTCACACCTGCATCGATCAATTTTGAGAAAATAGCTGTAGAAAAGCAGTCATATGCATCTGTTCTTATATTTTATTATTTAAGCTTTTGTTTTAGACATGTTTTTTCAAGATAATACAGCCCAAACCTTTAGTACCAGTGCAGTTAAATGCTACCCTGGAGGATGAAGTAGCTACAATATAAAGTCCATTCTGCATCCACACTGTAATCCTGTGGAGAGTATAATACTTGTATTATTGAAATACTTTCATCAGGCCTGGCTGGAGGTAACGAGCAGGACTGCAGATGGCACACAAACGGTGAGGAAGGACCAGTCCGAGAAACAGGAGAGACAGAAACAATGCAGCAGAGCCCGGAGCTGTCGGCGTGGTTCCGGCTGGATTCGTTTTGCAGGCTGTTTGGGAACACTTAAAACGGGCGCAGAGATCGACACAAGAATGTGCCGTTTTCAGAGGGGCGGAGACAAGCTTGCCTTGCATCCATAGCGAGTCGAGCGGCGCACGGGCACAGCCTCACTGTGGGCTGCCGTAGAGAGACTATAGCCTAAGTTTACAATAGGAACCAATAAGATCCTCTCGGTTCTTCTGGGCCACAATGGGTGGATGTTTTTTCGGCCGCAGAGAGGAGTCACACAGCCCCCGGTAAGCATTGTTTCGGTGCTGCTGAACTAACCAGAATCGTCCACGGTGAAGTGACACTAGGATTCGTACTAGTGGCCCGCTAACATAGTTAGAAGTGCGGCTCTTTAGAGAGAGACGCAACATTGCAACCAGGAGGAAACAGCGCAGGGTTACATAAAACGGACCCCAGCCTGGTTTTTGCAGCGCGCAATATTGAAAGCGCACCCGTCGCGGCTGTTTCCCCCCGTAGGGTGGCCATGAAGAGTGGACTGCCTGGCTTCTTTTCTCCATCCACTTCCAGCCTGCATGGAACAAAGTGTGCTTTTCTGAAACACAACCTGCGCTCGTGAGGTGGATCCAGGCGGTTTGTCAGCGTGTGTTTGTGTGTCGTAACGTTGCCAGTCGAGAGTCCAGCTTCCCCCGACAGTCATCATGAGGACCACCGAGGAGGCAGAGGGCTTTGACGGCGAGGCCTCCAACACTTCTATGATCTCCGGGGCCAACAGTCCGTATCAACCCACCACCGAGCCCGTCCATTCGAGGAACGTGTTGGGGGGGATACGGTGCGACATGGAGTACCTAAAGTCATACTTTGGGATTTTAAAGATGGTTGAAGTGGTAAGTTTGAGCACATCACTGCAATGCATAGATGTAGCTACAGCTAGCCTGCACATACAAGTGAGTAAAACTAACTATGACGCACCGTTAGTGGATCACATCCACTGAGCAGCTGCAGCCACTAACATGGACAACATGGCTCTGCAGAGAAAGTGCTTTTCTCCTTTAAAGCAATACTCTAATATGTTAGCGTTAAAACCTCACAGTTGACTTCTATCTATCTCTGAAGTAGGAAGCCCAAAATGTTAATTCGAACAGATGTGGCTCTACAGGTCCTGGTTTACTCTGCTCCACACCCTCTAGAGTGGTTAGGAAGGGTTCATGCTAACAGCATGCCTACCACACCGTGGCACGTAAAGGTACCGGGGTGAGGTCAACTGTCAATTTAGAGAATTTAGCTCAGCTGGTCAAACATGAATGACTCTTATTTTGAAGGATGCACATTGGCTTCAACAAAATGGTACAGTATTTAAGTGGCGTTATCCCCAACAGTACCTTTTTATTATTATTTTAGTGTGTAGTATTTCGGTAGGAACCTGGCATGGTTTGCAAGTAGATAGAAAATGACCTCTCAGATGTGTGCCTGCCCTCTGCTGTTCCCCTGCTGCTCTCCATGTCCTTAACTGTGGGGCCACTCAAAAATGCACCCAGTGATACCTGCACCAGTGATAAACTGTGTATCCTTAAATATAAATAAATATTAGCACCATCTATTTGTCAGGATGTAGTAGTTACTGTGGGGGGGAATAAACACATATTCACTGTTTTTTTTTCAAATCAATACGTCTTAACCAGATATCTGAACTGAGACAGAGGCACCAACAAACTCCTAAAGCTCTGGCAATTCACCAGAGGAGGAAATATCTATCGAGCCAGAGCCATTTCTTCTCTTCTGGTGCCAAAACACACAGGCCTGCACACACATGATGGAGTGTGTCCACAACAGGAAAAACCATGGAGTTGAGGAAGCTAGCAACTACCTCTAATAATGTTTGTGGATAGCACAAGCAAACTAAAAGTCCAAAAAAACCGCAGAGTTCTGGCTTCTCTGCTTCACTTTTCAAACTTAAGTTTAAAAAGCTTGTGGCTGTCTGAGTGTCCCACTTTTCTAACAGACGTGCACAGTCAGCCTGTGCAGTTGCACACAGCTGTGATGTTTACTTCTGAGTACATGAGAAGGAAGCCATCTGTCATCAGTGTGGGAGAAGTTTGGAGCAGCCAGTAACTAAGAAGAAGATTCATATCCACAGTCTTCCTCAAACAATATCATATTGTCTTTGACTTGTCTGCTGAATGACAGAACAGACTTTTTATTTCTGTATTTCTTCCACATCCCCCAAAGCTTTGTCTAAATAAAATACAATCTAAAATTGGTAACATGATTTGATTGAGACACTAACGAGATTACAAACTGACGAGACATTTGGTTTCTGTGCATTTCGGTCAACGACTAAAAAGTATCAAGGTTCAAAACCAGCCTTTTGTTCACAACCTTTACCACCAACGCCCCCCTGATACAACTAGAATGTAAATGCTGCTACCAAAACGGCACAACGTAGCACAGAAAGATAGAATGCCATGCAAATATTGCAACTCTGCTAATGTACTTTTTAAAACAATGATGAACAAAACAAGTGCACACCCATCTCTCTGTGTTCCTGGAAGATCCTAAATATTTCTCATGTATATGCAGTCAAAAATAACAGCTATGGCACACCTTCTGTTTGTACTGTCTCTCTACTTGAATGGTTTGTTCGGCGCTGATGCTGACTTTCCAGTTTGAGCTAGTCAAATATCCTTCACCGCCAAGGACGGGACCATTGAAAGTCATCCAAGTTTACACTCGGTACCTAAGAGGAGGCCTACAAGGCTTGCTGCCAAACGCTAATAGCTTCACTGGCTTGCAATTTTATTGTTCTGTCCTCTTTAATTGTTTAGCTCCGTCCCGGCTGAGGCTGTGTGGCGATCTTTTAGAACGGATTGATGCCGATACAAAGCTGACTGCATTGTGTTGTACTGGTACAAGCACCTAATGCAGGACAGTTTCTGCTTGATCTGGAAACACTTGCGGAGGAGGTTTTGTGCCTGTTATTCACATCACTGTGTTAACGGAAAGTTGCTCCGTGGCTGAAAGGGGGCGGTAGTCATGTGTTGTTTTAATAGATCGTCTTTGCACAGAAATAAGTTGTATGGAGCAATGGTGAGCATCGATGCAAAATTGACTGGTACAGTACACTACATGCTACAGGCTGCTGATCCGTACTGATCAGAAACAGCCCCCAGTAGGATGTAACCTGAGCGAGGTGTGTCCATCTTTGTCCCTCTACTGTGACTGGGTCAACAAAGACCAACTGATATTCAGCGTATGACAGGAATCTGATACCTTGTCGGACCCGACGGAACACCAGTGAAACCCTCTTTGTTTCCAAACAAGCCTCATGTCTTCATGATGATTAGCAGTTCACTCACGATGGTATGTGAACCCACGTTTGACTATTCTAACAAGTGATAATTAAATATTATGCTACGGTGGTTTTTTTCAGTCTGTGGATGTTTTGTAATGAAGTTACCAGATGCTCCCAAATGTCAGCGAGCACTTCCTGCTCTGAGAGAGACTGCATATGCTAAATTCTCTTCTGGTCGAAACATTACTTACTCGGGGCTTGATGGGAGACATAAAGACAACAAGGACACATTGTGCATGCATGTGGGGAGACATGCATGCTGTTGCCTGTACGCACGGCAACACACACTTACCTTATTCCCTAGGGTGAAATATAACCTGCATTCAGGCTACTTTTTCCATCACATACATGATTGTGGGCGGCTGCTGAAGCATATTCGACAACTTGGGGTCATTTGTTTTGTGCACGAGGTCCCACAGCACTTGGGGTGCAGCATATAATGTTGCGTGGTCTTCGCAGTGAGGCCTATTTGCTCCTTCATTCATTTTCTGCCCAGAACAGATGGTGTATAAGAAGGGGATCTGAGTTCTAGAGGCCTTTTTAAAGGCAACTAATCATGTGCTTAATCCCAAAGATAAGGATTTGTGTGCATTAGGGAGAGAGAAGAGAGAGAGAGTTGATGAGCAGGTTGTGTAGGGGTGACGGTTGACATAAAATCATTACTTACAAGATTGTCCAGTAGTGCTCTGTGTCTGCCTGACACCTGCTACAAATAGACCTGGGAAAAGCAATATGCTTTCTTCAAGAGATATGACATCACCCCTAGGCCCATGCAGCCCTCCACTCCCATTTGGGTGTAACCTTTTTGGTTGTGTTACAGTCACAGATGCATTGCTGTCCAACTGCATGCTCTAAAATGGGCTTTCTCTCGTCTTTGCTTTAGCGTGTCACTGGTAATGTGAAAGCTGGACATGTTCTGTACATGCTTTGCTCTCTAGGATCTTCAGGTGTATCCTGTGAGGTGATGTCTCAGCCAGAGACTTGGAACATTGGACCAAGAGTCTGTCACAAACGGGAGAGTCAGAAACGGTAGACTCTGCTCATTAATCTGGATTAACAGGCTTGAATGTTGAGCTGCTGAGAGCTGGGAGACGGGAGGAGGGGTCATCTGCTAATGAGACTGTTTGAGTTTGTCCGCAAATGTATTTGTTCAACAGTGTCGAGCAATGCAACTAGTTGTGGTGGATTCAAGATCGGAAGAAAATCTATATTGGGTTTCACAAATATTCCCAGTGTTAGGGTTTTAAGAAGTATTTAACTTTGAAGCTTGATGGACACTCTGGAGTCAGATTAGCTCCTTAATAAACAAGTTACAAAGATCCAGATTCAAGCGCTTCTGAGAGTCTTAAAGACTTTTCTGCAAAAGAAACGGGACAACTGTCTTATCTCCAGAAAAGGCTTTGCTGTATAATTGGTTAAATTCAATTACTTCCAAAAACGTTGTTCCAAAGATAACTGAAGTCCCAAATAGGCACACAAAAACAGGAGAAATATAAATGAGCAAATAACCATTCCCCTTAAGTCAGTTTGTCACTTCTCAATGATGAACTTTGAGATTTGTGACCAGACCAGTCTCCATTGTTACAGAATTCATGAGTCATTGCCCTTCTTACATCTTCTATAAATAAGGCCTCTTTTAAACATAACCACACATTCACAGATGCAAACCGTAGGTGACATCTCTCATTTCATCTTCATATCAGTAGATGTTCAGAACGGAGCTTTGCATGGAGACCACATCTATCTATTATTGTCACGTCATTTGTTTTAGTGGCAAAACATTTGTAAATATTTAAACATTCCCTTGAGATGGGGCTTCATGAAATAAATAATATTATTAATATTTATGAAATAATGTCTTCTGTCGATATTCTTATTTATACAAACTAAAATATAAACGACCCCAAATTCATCTTTGCAACTACAGCAAACCCCAGACCCACCCCTGTTCAACCCACATGCTAATGACTTTATGGTCTTTATTTTTAAAAATCCATTTCATCAGAGCTGGCATCATTACCCCGCAGCTCGGTATCAACCTGCAGTGTCTCGCTGATGGAGAATAAGCAGCTTATGAAGCCGCACTTCAGTCAACTCCATCCTGTACCTTCAGTGAATAGAGGGGAGATAAACACAGATAAGACTCGAGGCCTGCCATAGTGTACATGAAACTGCTCTTTTGGGCACAAGTACAAAATGAGTTTGATGCAAGGTGTAAAAGAACTGTAGCAAATATTGTGCCAATTGCAAAAGCTCAAAATGTCGCCGTGGACTATTTTCTTACAGTTTAACCTCCCATCATCATCCCTCAACTCATACCCGTCATTACACAATATAATGTAACAACGTTTAATACAAAATGTAGAACCTGCCCCTCTCTGGTAGACCAAGCAGATCTGGTCTAAACTGGTTTAAATGTGGCTGCTTCAGGTCGGTAATATGTTGCAGTGGCATTCTCCTGATTCTGTTACGTCTCCGAGCCAATCGGTAATCTGCGTGTGGTTTCGTCGGAGGCTAGATGGCAAGAGGAGCACCTCAATAGCAGAATTCTTCCCATACTGTGGTTTGTTGATGGATGTTGGCTGGAGGGACGCCTCTTCTCGGGCTGCCAGGAGTGAGACATTAGAGATGGGCTCACGACCTCTGGTCTATTCATAGGACGATCCCTTCATCATCTGGAAAGACACTCACTTAAAGTTACAGAAATGGCTACAGTACCCCTTTTATCCTTAAGAGCAGTATAACCAGGAGTCATTTATTTCTGTTATCTATTGAAGAAAATACTATCTATTTCAAAACACTGAAAATGTTTAACATAAACAGTCTCCTGTTCCTCACTTTAGGTCCTATCACTCATCGGATTCATCTGCATAGAGACTATCATGATGTGTTCTCCCTGTGGAGGAGTGTACTTCTTTGAGTTTGTCAGCTGCAGTGATGTCGTGGTGACAGGAGTCCTCCTCCTCATCTTCAGCCTCAACCTGCACACCAAGGTGCCCCACGTCAACTGGAGCCTCACGGTAGGTGCAGGCGGACCTAATGTGTCATCTGTAGTATGCCATAAAAAAAAGTGATATTATATTTATTTATGATCAGGCTTAACACGAGCTCATTCTACCAGCAAAACTGTGAAACTTCAGTGAGGATGGAGCTGGTTGGAAGTGCAAACGGTTTCAGTGTTGCCACCAGGACAAGCATTGTCAGCTGTAGGCAAATGAGCTGGTGGGTGTTCTCCAGCAGATACTGGTAGCCTGTCAGTGTTGGCCTGCGTACACATGTTGGTGTGTTCTGAGCTGCTGCCAAATATCCTTTACAGAGAGGAGTGGGGAAGAAAAAGCCACACAGTGTACACACTGTAGTGATGTTAAGCCAGATGTCCAAATCCAACCATAGCTATCAGATTGCTTTATGGCATCCTTGGTACAGTGTTCCACCTCATACATGAAGGGAGGGAGGGCCTTTGGCTTCTACTTTTGGTGGGATGACACCAAATGAAACCTTTTCACAGTCTCGGAGTGGCAGTGCTGATAATCTAAAATCCTACCGTTGGTTCTTTTTCTTAGACGTTCTGTTCATTTTCTCCGGAGGCTCACTGGCACGTCTCATGTCGGCTGAATTATTTTTCCATTCAGGTGATTAATCGCCAAGAATTGTGCAATTGTCAACATGTAGTATTTGTGTTGTGGGTTGCCATTAGACTTAGAGGAGGTTATTCTTCAAAGAAGTTAGACTGGTGGGCTTTTTTTTTTTTTAAATATAATTAGTAATTGCATATATTTGGACGACAACAAATTCTGTGTTACAACACAAAAACCCTGTTCACTTTTGGTGAGTGAACTGTGGCAAAGACGGACTTGCAGTTTGATTTCACAGTCTGTGCCCTGTGACTCCAAGCTGTTGTAATTAACAAGCACATGATGCTCAGTTCCACTCCACAGTTGTAGGCTGCACACCACGCTGTTTATGTCTATCAAGTTCAAAGCTGCTCCAGTCACATAAGGCCTCTGGGAATTCCACCATTAGAAAGCTTTTCAGAGTGTTCACCAACTGTTAACCCCTCTGCTGCCTTCCCCCGTTTCCAAACTCTAAACCGCAGACTGACGCTGCCATTCCTCCCCTGTGAAGTGAGCTGTTTTATAATGCGGTTCGAGGGAGGGTTTTGATCGTACAATTATGTGATCCCATCTCCTCCAATTCACCCTCTGTGATGACTTTGGCAGCACAGAGGGGGGAAACACAGGTCCTGACCGCCGCTCCCTCCCCTTCAACAAGGAAACGAACGCAGTCCAGGCATCTTGTTATAAAGCCACTTGGTGACTTTTTTAGCTTTTAAGTTGAACTTCAGGGTTTAGTTCACGCGAATGAGCTTGCCTCGCACAACCGGCTAGAGACATACGGGCAGACTTACTCAGCGCATTGTTTTCCAAATAATTGTCGGCCACGCTGAGGGGGTTGTGGGACAGAAATGGGGCGACCCTAAGGACACACATGGGGAAGAACATTCACAGCCTGAAGGGGAGGGACGGGGAGAGAGGGATAGCGTTGTTCTCCGACCAAAAGGAGAGCATCGGTTTGAAAACTCTGCCAGTGTGGCCAATATATCATGTTTTGTTTTGTTCTGGGGACAGACAGTATCTCATCACTGTTAATGCATGAATGAGTTGGGGATGAATGACTGGGCCTGTCACCTCCTTACAAACAAGTCGCCTTGTTTTTTATTTGTTGACATTTTGGCAAATCTGCAATTCCCGTTCACATTGTAGAGATGACAACTATTTGGATAACTTGTTATACTGAAGTCAGAATCTAAGATCTTATCTAAAATAAGAGCTAAGATCAGAGTTTATTTGATCTATTATTTTTTGTGGTGTCTAAACAGATGTATGGGTGTTTGTTTTCATTATTCAAATAATGTATTTTTATTCAATTTGCATACCCACTGCACACACATACCTTTTGTCAAAACCTGTACTGGATAATATTGCAAGTAAAGATACCCGTTTGATCATAATTGACCCAGTATGTCGTCTTTATGTATGTGTGTGTTAATCCTTTCCTGGATGGCCCCGTGTTATTCTGCCAGTAGTCATCTACATCTCTGCTGAATCTGCACACACAGCTGAGGTTTGTGGTTATTATTAGCCATAGTCATTAATCTATCATCAGCTCAGACCATAGACCACTCTGCTCATGTTGTATTTACTTTACCTACAAGCGGAATCCAATAAAAGCTTTCTTGGTTTTGACAGCTGAAGTTTGCCACCCAGGCAGACAAAAGGCATGAAATACTTCCCTACTATCTTTATTTGTCTTTCAACAAGAGTCGGGCGTAGATGTGAAAGCCCGGAGAGACGTTTTTATTTTTGCATGAAGCTTTCAAGCTCTGTGGGACTTGATTCGACTGTCATGAGAATAGATTTCATAATTAGTTTTCTGCTGCGTCCTCTAGGGTTTCCATAGTTGCAGTCCAAAGACTATTTCTGGCTTCTATCCTGAGAGCACAACAGAAACATAGAACCACATACAGTTACACGGAACATGTGGTACAATTAATCCCTTAACAAGCAACATTTTCTTTTTTTCTTTGCAAAAACCTGATATACGAGCAAAAAACTAAATTATTACTGACTTCTGATGACAGCCCTGATCCTGATCTCCTCTGTAAGACAACTTGTTGGAGTTTACTATTAAAAAGACCACATTGTTGATACAGATTAGTGTTTACAAAGGCACAAATGGGGTAAAAATATCATTTCGTTTTTTTTGTATATTTTTTACTGCTGTGTTGTGGATGCTGTCTTGTTACTTGTAGCAGATAAAGTCATGGGGCTTTGTGCTTTTAGGTAATGTAGACATAGTTGGTCAAGGTTGACAGAGGTTTCAACTGGATTGTCCAACTGCTTGCTATAAGTACTAGATTTCTCCCCGGTAGTATAGTGGACAGTATCTCCGCATGTCACTCTGATGACCACGGTTTTGATTTCTCGACCGGATAAAATATTCCTTTTTAGGGGTGGGAGTAGCTCAGTTGGACTTGACCTGGGTTCAACTTAAACTCAGTTCATTTATGTGTTGTTGTTTTTTTAAAGCATACTAGTTTGGTGCAACGTTCTGAATCTCAGCAGATAGAGAGAATACTGTAAAACCATTACACCAGCCAATAATGAGCCACAGAGCCAGTGGTTTGGTCCAGTCTGTGCTTGTGTTATTTAAAGTTTTACAGAGTGCCGGCCTGGTTCAGATGTGGAATTTGTGAACTGAGTGAAGCGGAGAGGCTCAGGGTCAACTTCAGGGACTGAGCTGTCTGTATCTTGAGAGAAAATGGGATCTGAAAGCTGCAGAAAAGCCTTTCTACTCCTGAGAACGGGACACTGGAATGTTAAACAGTATTTCCTGTCTAACCAGTTGGGCGAGATAGATGGGAGCGTGTGTTTGTAGTGTGCATCGGAGTGTGTCTTTGGGGATGTTGTGTGTGTGTGTGAGAGATGGGTGGGGTTATGATTTCGTTGTACATTGACTGTGCCAGTTAGCATGAGGTGGTATGGTTCCATATGAAAAACATAAAAGAAAAACATGACTATAAAAATTAGTATTTTCCCCAACAACAGCAAGATCCGCAGATGAATGATCCTCGAGGTCCTCATTTTCTGTCGTTGGACCGGGAACGACTGATTAAATTGTACTATCAGTTGCAGTTTTTCTGAGTTGTCTGTTGTGTCTGTTTCAGCCTTTGCAACAGCGCTACGAGCTTGTGTGTCATATGAGAGAGCACGTCTGTCATGATCACTATCATGCATGTGATCACGAGGGCCGTGCACCAGCCGTGCTGAGCACCTCGTTATTAACCCTCCCCTAACTGCCTGCTCTGCTGAGAACAAGAGAGTGAAACATCAAAGGGTAGAATCTCTTTCATTCCCCTTCTCATGTGTAAAGAAAGTGGGGGATGGAGTGAGTTGTGTGTGTTTGTGTTTAATATGAGGTGCTAGGTGGCTTTTAAGTGTGTGCTGTTGGTTTCTTTGCCCTCCTGCAGTTTTACAGTTGAGTTTGGCAGGATGTCCTACCTAGACGTGGCATCAGCCTTGTTGCTGAGACAAATACAGGTTTGAATTGTGTCAAAAAAAAGCCTCAAATGTATGTGGACTCTAAAAGGGATTAATTTATCTGTAGCTTTGATATTAGCATTGATGCAGCTTTACATGCAGCATTATGTTTGGAATACATTTCAGATTTCATAAGTACTTTAAACACTTTCATTGATGTGCTTTGGGGTATAAAAAAAACAAAACCATCTCCTGCTGTGAGGAAAAATTATTAAAATGTAAAAGACAGGAGGCCACTGTTATAACATTGTTGCTTTGAGTGCTTTAGGTACATTGAATTAAAGTGTTATTTTAAGCCTCCTGTGTGAATAGATATTTTGTGTATATCATTGATGATTTTTTGAATTTAAATACCACATACTTCGTGTGGGGCTGGGGATTGAACCGGAATACATTTTTGGTTTTGACTAAAATGTTTCCACATGAAAAAAGTACTGAAAACATGTTCTCTTTTTAAATCTTTTGATCAGATAGTTCCGGATTTAGTGTTTCTTTTTTTTTTTTTAGAAAACATGTATATATTCCACAACGTAAGGCATGTACAAAAGTTTAGATATAGGTACTGAAACTCAAGCATTGCCCTAACTGTATAAATGTATGCAGACATTTAATTTCATGCTTCACCACTGACAACATGATAAATCATTTTTAAAGTTCATTTTTTAATTACTCTGCATCAGCAGCATAAAATGAGTATTGATGAACATCTGGTTTCTCATGTAATGTTTGTTTTTGTGTGTCCCTGTAGGATCTGGTTAACACGGCTGCCAGCACCTTCTTTTTCTTCTTGTCGTCTCTTGTGTTGGCCTGCATCAACCATAACACTGGAGCTGAAATAGCAGCAGTGGTGAGTAGTCACAACCATCCTCTTTTGCCAAGATATACAGATACAAAACATGGCAGACATCTTTACAAACCTCCTCTGATCAGTCATCAAGTTTACTATCGGGGCATATCATTAGTTAAGAATTCTTACTTGGAAATATACTGAGGCATTAAAAAGAGCTCAGCAAAGATCTCATTTAGGTATCCGACTCGATATCTCATATGTGTGGCCGAGCAGAGCAAAATGCAAGAGCTGTTCCTGTTTGTGTTTTTGTTCTGACCAGATCATTGAGTTATCTGGCTGCTGCTGCTGCTGCCTGGTAGCTCCAGTTGCTATCTGATCTGAGTCACATGCTGCCTGATTACTGAGCAGATAGCATGTGCTGCTAAAGCAAACCTGAATGCACATTTCTTTAGCACCAAGACCATTTGTGTGCATGAGTGTGGGCTTTTAGCAAGCATGATTAAAGTCATTTTTCTGTATGTTTATCCATGCAATTGAAAACATGTAAGCTTTTAAGCCTAATCTTATCAGTCTGTACACGTTTAGTCCTTTGTTTCCCATTCAAATTCAGACATTGTTCTTCTACTTCCTGTTTCCACAGATCTTTGGCTTCCTCGTGACAGGTGTGTATGGTATAAACACCTTCCTGGCGGTGCGGAGGTGGCGCCGTGGCAATGGGTGTCAGGGGGCGGCTCAGACCAGCGAGTACATGCGAGCGCGCACAGCATCTCGTGGAGAAATGGAGGCAAGACCTGAGCTTGCGTGAGAGCTGGCAGACAATCGGACTAAATGAAATTATTTCATTCAAGTCTTGAGTGGAAGGGCCATCTCAAGATCACCACATGCTTGTGACTTCTCCTGACAAACACCTCGGCTGTGCTTTCTGCCTGCCCAGCCACTGAATGAATCTTCACGTCAACGTCACAGTCTGAGGCTTTGTTTTTCAGGCACCCTGTTTTCAGTGACACATAAATACTCTGAAGTGAAGAGCTCCGGACAGAATTGAAGGTATTCTCTGTTTCACCCACATGTCTTTCTAAGTCGGTATGAAGGATAACTTCCACGAGGAGCCAAAAGAAGAAGAAGAAGAAGAAGAAAAGACTGACTTCACTCCAACCGTGCACTAACTAGGTGTTGACTTTTCATAAATTTTTGTGTTTCACTGTGAAAGAAGTCGAGTTAAAGAAGGTCAACTTTTGTACAGTCTGCTTATTTCCCACCGCTGGCTGTGAAGCCTGTGGTAATAAATGTGACCGTGGGTTCAGGAAACCACTGGACCAGAAACATACAGTTAGCCTGCAGCACAACAGAAGCACCATAACTTTACTGTCCTTTCTTAGATACTGACATCAGCCTTTGGTTTCTACCTGTGAGCAAGGCTGTAGATATTTTCATCTAAAGAATACACATGCTGATGTTTGTTTCTCTTTCGTCTTGACTAACTTTACAAATGCCTTTAACATGTGACCTTTAGCCGCTAGTAAGATCTCTCCTTCCAGCAGTTATACAGTAACAGAACAAGGTCATTCTTAACTGCAATAAAGACGGGGCAGCACAACAAAAGTTCAACTTTTTGAAATGAGTGAAAAAGATCTACTTACCAAAATAAAAGTACCTTATTCCATCTATTTGATCCCCAAAATATTCACACTAGCATTCCTAAAATGAGGGCAACACTGTGAGCCAGGAGTGATGAAGCTATTGGTAGCTCGTTACTTTTGCACATATCCACAGCTTCAGGTAACGGAAATGTTGACGGTGCATCAGTGAGATTCATTTTGAAATCAGTAGGTGACCTGGTGACCAGTGCCCTACCCCGAATGGACTGTTTCTCAGGTATCGACACACTCCTTCCGTCTTTGAAACGTAAAAAAAAGATTTGAAATGAAATCCCAGGGTGCCTCGAACTGAACGTTGTATTTCGTAATGCTTTTCTAATTATTAGACATGACAGGACTATCATAAAGAATGAAAATTACTGTAACTGATACTTTCATTAAGTGAAGGTAGAGATGGTCGGATGAAAATGCAGTACTTTTAGCATTATTGTCTCAGCTTTTATTAAAATGTGTGCATATATCTACAGTATATTATCACACTTCATGTATTATGAAATTACTATCATTCCACATTGCAGCTATTATAAAGCGCAAAACAGATTCTATTTGTTTTTCTGTTCCCCGAACAGAAAAAAATGCTTTATCTTGAAAATTCACATTTGTTTTTGAAGAAGGAAGAAATGTAAACTGAATTTTTGGTGTCTGATATCGTTTGAACGCATTGAATTCACACTACAGTTACAGGTGTGCGGTTTATTTGTTGTATAAGACGTCTAAATATAATCAGGCTGAGGTGAGTTTGTGCTGGGTCTAAGTTGACTCTATGGCGCCACCTCCTGGTCGTCATCTAAAATGTATTCCTTGTGACTTCAGGCGACTGTTGCAGTACAGCCAGATAAGTGCGTTGTGTGTGAGCGCGTCTGTGCGCATGCGCAAATGTGCAAGAGAAGGACTAGAAATGTGTTTGACTGTGGGTTAAAATGAAAATAAAAACTGTATGGCTTCTTAAACAGCCTCAGAAGTTTCCACATTACACAGAAAGATTGATTAATCAGGCTTTTCGCATGTTTTTAGTAACTTTTATCACGTACAACTGCTATTTGTCCTGGTATGGCGACCAAACTACTTTTATGAATGGACAATAACATCTATTCTACTTTGCTCTTTCATGCATGGATTTGTGTCTGAGTGATGTAAAAATATTCACACTTTGCAGCACAATCACGCAAGTGCATTATACTATTTGATAATATCAATTTACCATCATATCGGTCAAAAACTATCGACCCTGTATATACAACGTTTTGCTACAGTGTGTAATGGTCTATTTCTATTTATAGGGAAGAGAAGAAGTTATTTTCACTAGTTTCCAGATCGCACTATAAACGGTGAACATGCTCAGTCTGACTGTTTGGATGAAATTGGAGGCGAGATGCTCTTCTCTGCTTTTAATTCTGTGTGCTTTGATTACAACACGTCTTGAACAGCATGGACCCGTACTAAGCTATATACACTTCAGTTTATAGTGACGATTTAAATAAAGTAATTTGGACATTATTGAAAATAGCTCACTTTTTTTTATTCAAACTTTTTTTCACAAAAAGGCAAAACAGTAAAAAAAAAAACATCTTTATATTTCACCAACAATAGTTCAGCAAGGGACCTCCTTTATAAAATGATGCTGTGTTCAACTTGTTTTGTTTTTGCGTTTGCACGGTAAAGGTATGGTTGAGTTTTGTAGCTGTCCAGTGAAAATCACGTATCTTCAGTCTCGAGGATTCTGCCTGGGCACCATTCAAACAAAAAGAAACACAGAAGTAACACACTCTCCCATCAAGGGCAAACAATGTATAATTATTGGATGTAATTGCAACCTTGGAAGTGTTTTTCTCACCATTAATATGCCAATTGCTCTCAACAGTTGAAATTCCACATGAAAGTTAGAGGCCACTGTTTCATCCATTTTCAAATCACAGTGCTGTTGTAACGCTCATGCAGTGCAGTGTGTATTACATAAACACTCGCTGTGGCTAGTGCGTGTAATTCTTCAGTAGTGGCTGTGGAAGAACTGAAGACTCAAAGATACTTTTCAAAACAAAAAACATTCACATATAGGATATCTAGCATTTAACAATATAATAATGCATTAACACATACAGTAGACAAACTGAAACAAAAGAGCAGAGAGTCTATCAAACTTTGGGTTAGTTGAAGAGATCTTAAAATGTAGCATCATTTCTGTCACATGACAACTTTCAAACATGGGTCATTGGGTCATATAAAAACTAACGATCCAGAAAAGGTTGTCATGTGGTACAGCAAGCCACAGGAATTCTGTTGAACCAAAAGTCAAATTTAAAAGAAGACCAGTAAATATTATCCTCAAACTACAAAAAATGCACTCTTGTAGAGTTTAGACAATTGGACAGAGGTTGTAACCAGCCAACCTGCAACCAATCTGTTCTTCTATATACTGTACATGTTTTTTTATAGTAATACTACAAATGTATAAATGGTGACTCACATGCTTCATTATTGGCACACCTAAACATGTATTCAATAATGAGATTAATTTAGTGTTGTACTCTAATATGTCTGTAAATAGGGTCGCAGTACGTGCCCAAAAGTCAATATTAATCATTATTGCAGGTTTAGACATACTGTCTGCTCCCATATTCAGATCGTACAAACAGCTTCTGAGAACCCAGTATCATGAGACCCAACAATTTCCCAGCTTTATGATCTTAAGGTACAAGGTTGGCATTTATATTTTCTCCAAATTATCTAAGACACTGAATATGAGTTTGGGCACAAAAAGAGCAAAGGGTGTTTTGCATTATTTCATAAACTTCTTGCAATGCCCAGTAAATTAGTAACTTAAAAAGACCAACATATTTGACACATCAGCTTAGACTTGTTTCCTGAATGTCTTGAATGGATGCTTAACAGAATTCAAAGAGGATAAGTAAAGAGGGTCAGAATGCCCTCTTTACACATGTTTGGCTCTCAGGGACTATATGGAGAGTCCCCAACTACAAATAAATGCACATAATTATTAGAATTAACCAACAAGCAATGTAACCATGTGGTGATTGCTGCACACAGTATCAAAGTAACCTTGAGACACAATTAAACACTTGCAGATCTTTACACATGCTGGCTTCGTAGTGGAAATTTCTCCTGCAAAGTTTGTTTTATTTTGTTTGATCAAACTTGTCAGCTGGTCTCCTGGTGGTGGTGGTCTCCTGGTGGTGGTGGTCTGCGGTCTCAGTCCGAATCAGAGTCTGAAATCTCATCTAAAAAACAAAAATGAAAACACACCTCTGGTATCAGCATGAGTGTGGAGAAGTTACATTAATAAGTAAAACTTTGGGTAGTGTACTGGTTTTCGTGCAAAAAGTTGACTAAAATGTAACTGAAAATGTATAATATGCCAAAAAATGTCATAAAAATCCCATAAAAACAAAAACATAAGCCATTAAACAGTATAGGATGTGATAAAAAAAAAACAAGGTCAGTAAAAATGTCAAAATATAATATGCCTTAAAGAAAGTCATAGTATAGTACGTCATGGATCTCATAAAAATGGCATAGTATAGTTGTTGAAGTAAAAGTCACAGTAGCCCAAAATTAGTCGTAACAAATGTCGTGGTATAGTTTGCCACAAAAGTAAATACATTAAAAAAGTATGCAATAAGAACTCGTAAAAAAGTCACAGTATGTCAAATGCAAATGTATTAAAAATGTCATATTATAGTACATAATATAGTCATAAAAGTTGTAATATTGTAGTTTGCCAGGAAATGTCAAAATATTGTAAAAAGTAGCATAACAAATTTAATAAAAGAGTCAAAAAGTCAAGAGTGATGTAAGTGATAGTATAAGATAAAGTCATAGTATAGTATGTCATAAAAATGTCAAGGTATCAAATCGATTAAAAAGTCATAACTCAATATATCATACAATAAAAAATGTCATAGCAAATGTCACAGTGTAAGATGCCCCAAAAAATCATAAAGAGGTCATCGTATCATATGTCATTAAAACATTATAGTATATGTATGTGATACAAATGTGATAAGAATGTCATAAAATGGGTCATGGTAAAGCATGTCATAAAAATGTCATAGTATAGAATGTTGTTAACCCTGTCCGGGAGGTCTTTAACTCCCACCTCCGGAAGAACTTCTCACACATCCCGAGGGAGGTTGGGGACACGGAATCCGAGTGGACCATGTTCAAAGCCTCTATTGTGGACGCGGCCGCTAGGAGCTGTGGCCGGAAGGTCATCGGTGCCTGTCGTGGCGGCAACCCGAGAACCCGGTGGTGGACACCGGAGGTGAGGGAAGCCGTGAAGCTGAAGAAGGAGACCTTCAAGGCCCGGTTGGCCCAGGGGTCTCCTGAAGCAGCTGACAGGTACTGGCAGGCCAGAAGGGCTGCAGCTGCGGTGGTCGCGAATGCTAAAACTCGGGCATGGGAGGAGTTCGGGGAGGCCATAGAGAAGGACTTTCGGTTGGCCTCAAGGAGGTTCTGGCAAACCATCCGACGCCTCAGGAAGGGAAAGCAGGGCTTACCCCAGGCTGTTCTCAGCAGGGGGGGAACTGCTAACCCGGACGGGGGACATCGTCGGGCGGTGGAAAGAGCACTTTGAGGAACTCCTAAACCCGACCAACATGTCCTCTGCAGAGGAGGCAGCGCCTGAGGACCTAGGGGGAGGCTCACCCATATCCCTGACAGAGGCCGCTGAGGTAGTTAAAAAGCTCCTTGGTGGCAAGGCGCCGGGGGTGGATGAGATTCGCCCTGAGATGCTGAGGGCGCTGGACATGGTTGGGCTGTCCTGGCTGACACGCCTCTTCAATGTCGCATGGGGGTCGGGATCAGTGCCCATGGAATGGCAGACCGGAGTGGTGGTTCCCATCTTCAAAAAGGGGGACCAGAGAGTGTGCTCGAAATACCGGGGTATCACACTACTCAGCCTCCCGGGGAAGGCTTATGCGAGGGTGCTGGAAAGGAGGCTCCGACCGCTTGTCGAACCTCAGATTCAAGAGGAGCAGTGCGGATTCCGTCCCGGCCGTGGAACAGTGGACCAGCTCTTTACCCTCGCAAGACTACAGGAGGGGTTCTGGGAGTTTGCCCAACCAGTCTACATGTGCTTTGTGGACTTGGAGAAGGCTTTCAACCAGGTCCCTCGGGGGGTCTTGTGGGGGGTGCTGCGGGAGTATGGGGTGCCGGACCCGTTACAAAGGGCGATCCGGTCTCTGTACGACTGCAGTAGGAGCTGTGTCCGCATTCTCGGCAATAAGTCAGACACGTTCCCGGTGGGTGTTGGCCTCCGCCAGGGCTGCCCTTTGTCACCGGTCCTGTTCGTGACTTTCATGGACAGGATATCTAGGCGCAGCCCCGGGGCGGGGACCGTCAGGTTCGGTTGTCTCGGGATCGCCTCTCTGCTATTTGCAGATGATGTGGTCCTGTTAGCCTCCTCGGATCATGACCTCCAGCATTCACTGGGGCGGTTTGCAGCCGAGTGTGAAGTTGCGGGGATGAGAGTTAGCACCTCCAAATCTGAGACCATGGTTCTCTGCCGGAAACCGGTGGATTGCTCCCTCCAGGTGGGGACGGAGTGCCTACCTCAAGCGAAGGAGTTCAAGTATCTCGGGGTCTTGTTCACGAGTGAGGGTAAGATGGAGCGGGAGATCGACAGACGGATCGGTGCAGCTGCAGCAGTAAAGCAGGCGCTGCACCGGACCGTCTTGGTGAAGAGGGAGCTGAGCCGGAAGGCAAAGCTCTCAATTTACCACTCGGTCTACGTTCCTACCCTCAACAATGGTCACGAACTCTGGGTCGTGACCGAAAGGACAAGGTCGCGGCTACAAGCGGCCGAAATGAGTTTCCTCCGTAGGGTGGCCGGGCTCAGCCTCAGAGATAGGGTAAGGAGCTCGGTCATCAGGAGGGAGCTTGGAGTCGAGCCGCTACATCCTGGACGCCTCCCACTGGAGGTTTTCCAGGCACGTCCAACTGGGAAGAGACCCCGGGGAAGACCCAGAACACGCTGGAGTGATTACATCTCCCAGCTGGCCTGGGAACGCCTCGGGATCCCCCAGAATGAGCTGGAACATGTTGCCGGTGAGATGGAGGTCTGGGTCAGCCTGCTTGGCCTGCTGCCACCGCGACCCGACCCCGGATAAGCGGTGGAAAATGGATGGATGGATGGATGGATGGATAGTATGATATACAGTATATGATATACATTATGCCAGAAAAAAAGTCTTAAAAAATAATATAAAAATGTAATTTAAAGTTATACTATAGTATGTTAGAAAAATGTCATGAAATTGTCATAGTATAGTATGTCATAAAAATGCAAATATGAAAGACATACATACATACAAGACATGACATACACATTTTATAAAGTCAGTATGTAAAAATGTCATAAAAAGTCATAACCTTGCTGTCTTGATGGCTCCTCGCTGGACTCCCCTCCTCCTTGCTTTAGGAAAGCGGCCAGCTCATTGAAAATGAGATAAAAATCTAAAGCAAAAACGATGGTGGCAATGAACCCAAATATCTGTGAAAAAAAGAAATTTGAAACAGGAACGATTAAAAGCTACAATTTAAAACAACAACTGAGATGATTCCAGAAAGGCTATTTTTTGTGTTCTTAAAACATAAATAACGGCGGTCTAGGCTATATTGAGATGAGCGCAAAAGTCGACTTTACCCCAGCAGCCTGAGAGGAACCGTCCACATATTTGGATACGGAAATGATCGAGATGATGAAGAAGATAATGGAGGCAGACACACATCTTATGAAATCCTTTGAGAGAAAAGCAAGAAACACTATGATTAAGAGAAACTTCATATCACTGTACTATTTTTCTTCTTTCAGCATTAAAAAAAGTTTTACAATCATGCATATCGACTTTAAAGTTTTACATTTTATATGAAAATTGCTCTCACCATAAGAGGCCACAGGAAGCCTTTAAACCTCTCATTGAATTTGGTCGAGTAAGCGAACAACAAGAAGAGAGCAGCTAGGAACTCCAGCAGAGGAACCGTCACAAAGGCTGCTGCTGTGGATGCCGCGAAACACACAAATGACACAAAGGACAGTGCCTGCAGAGACGATTAGAGAGAGAAACATATAATGTACAGTATGGGGGGCAGAAACAAAGACTTTATGATGGGTCACAGGCCAAAAGCAAAAACCTATTGTATTGTATTGCCTTTCTAAATTGTTCTTACAACTTAAAGTTTTAAAGTTATAGTATAGGGGCGACTGTGGCTCAGCGGTAGAGTGGGTAAGTCAAAAAAAGTCAATGTTTTTTTTGTTTTTTAAGTCCTAAAAAGTCATAAAGAGTCACAGTATAGTATGCCGTAAAAAGGGTGTGGTTTGTTGGTCAAAAAAGTAATATAAAGTCATAGCATAGTATGTAAAAAGTAAAAAATTATAAAGTATAGTATGTAAAAAAATAAGCATTTTAATTTAATTTAAGAAAAATTGATTTAACATACTTTGCCCTGCAGCTTTAAATTCAGGTTATTCAGGTGGGAAGTGATGTCATCCGAAAAGCAACAATGTTATATTCTACTCTTCTACTCTTCTAATAAGAGAAATGTGTGTGCAGGGTCTAACGTTATATCTGTGGTTGTTGAAACCACTTGTTTCAGCTCTATTCCTCTCTCTGTGTACATCATTGTTGGGCAGTGATTGAATGTGTTAGGATTCTGATCATATTGGGCTTTTAGTTTTATTTTCTATTTCATTCACATCATTTCGGATGTGAGTGGGTACATTTGCTAAAAAGAGTTGTGCTTTGTCTGGTAGTGGCGCTTCACATTGTCGCTATTAATAATCACCACGGACTCTGAACATATGAGACGCACTGGTTTAGACCTGCCCGTGGGAATAAGTAACATATAAAAGTCGGTCCACTCTTGGTTAAAGGCTCTGGTCTCTCTGACCACATTTCTCTTTTTGGAGAATTCCATGTGGGATAACTTCTGACTCACATATTATTCTCCCACTGCTTGGTCTTTCGCCCCGTCTCCCCGTGTGTGTAAATCTCACTAGAGTTGGGAAGCTTATCGGAATAAACATATTTGATTGGCTGAGTAGCATCACGTGATGTGATTTACAATGCATGTAATTGGTCGGTGTGTTTCCTGGACCACTGAATGAGTGCCGTAAAGGCTGGAAAAGCTGCGCCGGATAAAATAGAAGCGCTCCGTAAAATGTTTATAATTATCAATTATCAATCGTTTTTAGGTCCAGGGTCCAGACACAATGGCATCTGAGTCCGGACTCGGACTCAAGTGCGATATTCACACACGTGAGAGACGTGGAGAGAAACCCAACAGTCGGAGACCAATGATGTAAACAGAGAGAGGAATAGAGCTGAAACACATCCCTGCATATAATTTCCTCTTTTTAGAAGATGAGAATGAGAACATTGTATACATGTCACAAAAGTCATGAAAGGTCATAGTATAGTATGTCAAAAAAAGTAATATTACAGTAAGTCGAAAAAACTTACAAAAGGTCATAGAGTTGTATGTTGAAAAAAGTCAAAATATAGTATGTTGAAAACAGTCATAACAAGTCATAGTATAGTATGTCGAAAAATATTGATGGTTAAATAATGTGAAGTCATGAAAACGTAATTGTATAGCACATCAAAAAAGTAACAAAAAGTCATAGTACAGTATATCGAAAAAGTCATAAAAATGTCATAGTATGATGTGTCCAAAAATCTAATTGTCACTCCGCTTGTAGTGCTCAGATTATGAAAAATAATCAATAATTAAGGATACTGAATATTTAAAGAGCAATTTTACCTCACAAAAAAATAAAACAACAAAATAAATGTATATTATTATTGGGGTTTGTTTTAGATCAATGAAGAGTTGAGTTAACCCTTTGACCAAAGGGTTAACTCTTTTTGGGATCTTTTTGGGATCAAAGATAATTAAGAGCTTTTGAAGAAGTCACTCCTGTCTTGAATTCATATTTAATTAATTAAGTGAGCTGCTTCAAGCAAAAGCCAAATTAATATTTTAAACACAACTGGCTAAATAAAATGAATCTTCTTTGATCTTCTTCCTCTGAGATAATGTAAAACTGTCTCATAGCTGGAAGTCTGAGGGAATTGAAGTTTCAGGCCCGCTTCCTGTAAGGAGATACAGCTGTTAAAAGATAACGTGTTTTCGGAGCGACTTGTGCACTGTTACACTGAATCTCTCTTGTTCTCTCTCAGACAAACATGCACGTGCAAGCAAACAAAAAGATAAACTTGTTATAATGAAAGAGGACGTTCAAACGTGCTCTTTGTTTGCAACAAGTAGTTACAATGAAAGTAACTGAGCGTGCCCTGTGTTTGACGCTTTCCATTAGAAGTGCTGGACAGATTATATCAGTGCAAACGAATGCAAGTCCAGACGCTGTAATCTCAGACAGGCCCGGCCATCTTGTCTTTGTCTCAGTCAGTCATCCTACACTGGCCTGAGGTTGGGAACTCCCCCTGACTGAACCCAAACCACTGCAGCTGCTATTACTTAAAAATGCTGCTCCTGAGCAGCATCCTGTCAGGGATCGATACGATTTCTACATGTTAATTAGAAGCCTTTCTTTGAGTTCCTCAGTAGATGCTCGGGCATGTTTGCTTATGGAGAATAGGGTCTGGGATGTTGGGATGACTATGATGCACTATAAATATAGATGAGCTGGCATCTCTACATTTTCTTGTACTGTACATAATCCGGCAAAACAAATCTCACATCAGAAAGGCAGAAAGTCTGGTTAGTGAGACTGTATTAAGGCTGCAACTAACAATTATTTTTTTAGTTCCAATCATATTTTTGTTGATGTTGTATGAATTAATGGTTTGGTCAATGAAAATAGTGAAAATAGTGAAAAATGTCCATCTCAACTTCCCCGGGGCCCAAGGTTACGTTTGAAAATCTCTTGTTTTGTCCAAAAGCCAAAGATATAATAATTACATTTAAAAAAAAACACTGAAAAAGCTGGACACATTATTTCACGGCAGTTTTGCTTGATATTAATTCAACAATTTTGTTTGTGATGCATTTTCTGACAAATGACGAATCATCATGTAATCGTTTGTTTTGCAAACTCTATAAAAGATGAACTGCACTATAACAGACTGTGCTATGAAGTGGGGTCAGATGGGAGAGAGCGTGTCTTCAAAGCATTGCCCTTAAAAGGTACGAGTCTACTGAGTAGGTGTTGAAGGACGTGAAACTTGCTGTGAGTGCATGTGGGGGCTTTTAAACTCACAAAACATCATAAATCCTGAGGCCACAAACACATTAGGCTGCATACTGAGCTAAGGATTCTGACAGTCCAATCACTTTACACCACCTAGGCAGGAGGCACACTTTGCACACATTTACCGCACCATGCACCCTTTATTAACAGCTTGTTTGCATTTTGAAAATATTTCAAAACGCTACAAACAAATCTTTTTTCAGCAACATTAGGTTTACACCCTGTGATTTCACATTCCTTATTGGGCCTGTTGCTGGCTGCGACTGAGAATCCTAATGAGAAATGCACAGTGCTCTGACATACTGTGTATAATAATGTGTGCTCAGCAGGATCTGTGTCTGACTAATGCTCCCAAGAATGGAAAAGCTACGGGGCTGTGTTCACTTTACTCACATGTAACAGTTGACTTCATTAACTGTGAGCTCATATAACACTATCTGTAAGCTTTAAACTCTATCCAAAAGACAATGCAACCACGATGTTCTGGGACAAAAAGCTTATAGCTACAGTACAGCGAGGAGGTTGCAGTGCAAAGTACAGTACCATACAATACAGTACAATACCAGGGATGGTTACAACGCTATGGTTAACTTGTGAAATATAAAGCTAAAACCAAATGAATCCCAATGTACTACTGCTCCACACCAATGAACAGCCATGGAAACTTAAACTCTAGTGTAAAGGGTCAGTTCACTCAAGAAAGCAACATGTAAAAAGTAGTTCCAGTTAGGGTTGGGAGATATGACAACATAGTGTGAGACAACATAGATTTGTCAACTGTCAGCGATTTCACCATACTGCTTTACTGTTAGCTATCCTTTTTATATCTCTGGTTGTATTGCATCATTTGTACAAAGTTGCAAACTTCGATAAAAGACTGTTTTATGGCAGTTTGGGATTTTTATTTTACTTTGTGATGAAGTCCCTGTCTTGGTCAGGTATTTAATTTGCTGGATTAGCTGAAAATTCAAAAGCTATTCTGGTTATAAATTTGTCAATTGATTTTCCAAAAGATATCCTACATCACATACATCAATACAGAAGTTTTCTTTCCATTCTATGGATGCTGCAGAGTAACAGGGACACTGTTTCTGTAATAAGACACTGCTGTTGAGTTTTTAAAATGCAATTTCTCTATAATGTGAGCGCTTTCAAATTAAATTCCATTCCCCTCCATTGTATTAAAAAACAGATCTCAAAACATGCATGAATAAAACCAAAATGTGAAAGGCCACATATTACTATCGGTAAATGAAACGTTTTTTTCAGAATTGTGTATTTAAACTGACCTTTTATGTCAAAGATAAAAGTTCAACCAAACAAACTATAAAAAGGTCCTGTGCCACCTCACACTGTTACCACAAACACACAGCAGGATTTCCTCCAGAGATTAGATTAGCACGGGGTGGTAAGACACAGATGTACCGACACAGCAACAACAACCACATTCATTTCAATTGCTGTAATTTGCAAATAACACCTCATCTCTTTTTATTGAAGCCTAAGGTCATCTTTCTTAAAGATGTTTTAATGTTCTCTGATTTTAGCAGAGGTTTTGACACAAATGTCCTAAAGTGAGTCTTACCACTCTATGTAAGTTTAAACCAGGTGTACACTCAGCTACATGCACATAGCAGCACACACTTCTGCTGTAGTCAGTAGAGGCCAATTGGCTTTTTTTAGTGTAGCTATACTGAAGCATTTTAGCCTAGGGGTGAGGATAGCGGTCACATTGTTGAGTAGTAAAGAGGCTGTATTGTGTGTGTGTGTGTGTGTGTGTGTGTGTGTGTGTGTGTGTGTGTGTGTGTGCAGGGGGCTGCTGAGCTCTGCATTCACAGGACTGTGCTCCAGGCTATACATGTTTGGGCCACAGAGTGGAGGATGTGACTGTGAGGGAGATGAATGCTCTCTCACATGACACTAATTTTAAGGGTTCATGCAACAGCGAGACCCTTCCTGTAACAAATGCATGCTGCTGGTAATCTCCCCGCCCTCACCACTAACACCATCACACACACAGTCAGCTCCCTGCTTTGTTGAAACCCACTTGAACAGAGAATAAAAAGTAACCACTATACTCTATAAACGTTAACATAGCTGATTTTAAATTGGCACAACACTGAGAGACTGAGGGTTATTTAGCTTGATCCCTGACAGCGCCGATGGTTCTGTACAACGGACAAGCTAGTTAGAGTGGTCTTCATGCAGCGTGTCTATAATCCAGTACAAATGTGTATTCCAAGTTCTAGAAGTGTACCAGTTGCTTTAACCCCTCACTGCTCCTCCCTTTACTAATGGAAAGCCTGTGACGGAAACTGACTGACCCATCTTCAAAATGACAGTTAAACAGTGAATTAAAGTTGTTTCCAAACGTGGATTAAAGCAACACATTGCTTCAGCTGCCATGACGCTTTGAGAACAGCAAATAAAAGTATCCAAAACGTAGCGCGCTTTGGGGTTTTGTGCGTATCTGGCGAAAACAATGGCAGAGTAAGAGTTTCATTTGTTACAGAAGTGATCCCTCTGGTCATTTCTTACCACTTCAGCAATAAGCAGCATTCCTTTCCTTGAGGAGGCGAACTCTTTGCTCGGGAGAACAGAGAGCAGGACATTCTGGCGCGGCCGATTCGAGTTGGGAGCCTCGATGTCTCCCATGGTTGGAAAAATATATTAACTCTCCTCAAACTCCAGATAGCCCAAACTACTACGTAACGTAACGGATTCAAGGCAAAACAACAAAAAAAAGATATGCGGAGGCGTGAGGCTTCTCGTTGGTGGAAACGGAAACAATGACAGCGCGGAAACGCAGCGCGAGCTCCGAAAAAGCGCAACATCTGGTTTCTCCAGATGTGAAATGCGATGCCCCCCCCCCAGCTGCATGCAACACAATCCTGAGCCACACAGTGGAAATATTCAACTCATGGTGTCACAAGGCAAAGGAAAAATGTTTATTGATATTGATATTCCATTACATTTGTGTCAATTAAAATATATTGAAAAGCATCTTTCAGAAACAAGTCGCATTATCAATTTGAATTATTACAACTGGAATCATAATATGCTGAAACCTGGTACAAGCTTTGAATCATGAAGTAAATGTGAAAGTAATGAGTAGAAGCTTTGAACTTGTTAATGCTCACATAGCATACTGTATTACTTTACTGTCATTTATTCATTCATTGGTTGTCTTGCCTCTGAATTTCGCTTCTCGGCTTGTTGAATGTGATGTTCTTGAAAAGCATGAAGCAGTCCACACACAGCAGCCCAGCTGATAATAAACCAACTATCTGCAAATAAAGAACAGATTTAAAAATAAATGCATAACACTATATATCGACAACAGTATGTGTGTGCGTGTGTGTGTGTGTGTGTGTGTGATAGAGATAGAGAAAAGCTGAATCTTCAAACTTGATATTGTTTGGTTACAGGACATGTATACATGTAAAATCAATGTTTGGAAGAAATATTCCTCACCCCTCCAACCAGTGTGCCTGTGACAGTGTATGTAGTCAACGCCAGCAGGCTCAATACAATAAAGTAGACTGCTGCAAACGCTGAATTAAAAACATCCTGAGAAGAACAGAACAAAAACTTTAAAAATGCAACCTGTACAATAGGCTGAAACTTGTATGTTCTGTAAAACATTACCCACAATGAGAGGCCAAAAGAAGAAGGTCAGCCTTTTGTTGAGTTTGAACACGTACAGCAACAGCAGAAGTGAAGTGATCACAAACTCCAACACTGTGGCTGTAATACTGTACTTTGGTCTAGATGCTGCAGCGAAACACACTAATGCCACAAACAGAGTCACCTGAAGCCAAAAGAAGAGACACAGACAGAACATTGTTTACTGCCACAATAGAAAATGTTAATTCTAAAACCGTGTCAAATTATTGAACTGTGATATCATGAGTTGAGCTTTTTCACTAAACTTCCAGCAGAGATCACTTCAGTGAACACTTCAGAGAACACTTCAGTTCTTCTGATTCACTCATTGCCTTCCTTCGTACAAAAGAGGAACTGAGACGCTCGGCACATGTTGCCACATCACATTTTTTAATCCAGTCGGTCTTTCAGCCTTTTAAAACTAGTTCTAATAACATTGTTGACTAACATTTAAAGCTAATTTGTGATGCTATGTTATCGCCTCATGTACTGTATCTGTTCCCCTAACGTGCACAGGACACGTCTTAGCTCTTTGACTTCTTCTGTTGGAAACTAAAAAAATGTTCAGACTTTTGGAGATGTGCGAATTGTCTCACCATCTCTGCTACTTTCAGGATCCCCCTCTTGGATTTGAGAAAAGCAGTGTCCACCTCTATGGTTGTCATTCTGTTTTGATCCTCTGACATGATGGTACGATTTCATTTGCAAAAGACAGCCCGCTCTGTTTCCTGAAACGAGCAATTTCCTTTTAGCTGTCGGAAATGACTGTGTGCAGGAATATACGCAATATTTTCACACCAGCAGCTACTTGGCACATCTACTGAAACAGATGAACAAGACGACAACTCACAGGGCCATAGAATAATCTCCATCAGTAACCTGTCAAACTGAATAGAGAGAGTTCTGTTAACAGTCCCAATAATAGTCATGATACAATGTATTAAAAATAGATTTTTTTATTAAAAACATGTTTTGCAGTATGCATGTAAGAAGGATACAAAACTAATCCAAAAATCCAAAATGGTATAATTCATTACATTAGGCATGATCAAAATAAATACATCCCTATCTGCTCTACACCATTAAAATGAGTCCTGACTTAAACTAGTGGCTCGTGATGCAGTTTTTTTCCACAACAGGTAAAACTTGTTCATTAAAATCACAAATTTAAAAAGCTATTTGCATAATTAATATGATGTTGTTGTACCAACATTATTCCCTTAATTTGACCATGTCCTTCTTTTTAGCTTAGCACATGACCCATTTTACAAAGAATGTAAAGACGCATCTTTTTAAATAATCAGTTGTTTGTTGTTCTGCAGAAAGGCACATCTTTAGGTTTTGGTTCCTCTTCGTCTCAGTGGGGCCAGTCACACTTCCAGGGCTTAGACTTGGGCACTTTGAAACACTTTCCTAACTTCTCACAGCCTGCAGGGGCCCAATTCTGTAACAGAGAGCGGCCATCACATAAGAACAACATTATGATGTTATCAGAGATATTAGTTATAAAAAGTAAAACTGTTCTTGGGTCATCAGGAGCACACAGTGTACTGTCCTGTGCCCTTAATGGTCCTCTTCAAAGTCTTTTCTTATGGCATAGCAATTGCATGTATCCTGTGTCGTTAAAAAAATATTGTCCGACTATGTTTAAGATTTATCACAAGACAAGGTTTATCTTATATTGGAAAAATAACTTAGTGATACATGAGGTGTTTTAAAAGCGTTATGCATTGCTACTTCTATTTGCATTATATTTAGCAGAATTTACTAATAAAACTAATCAGTTCAACATTGAGTGGTGATATTACAGGCTAGGTTGGTATATAGGTGAATATTAAACTTGTAACATTTTAGTTCAGTTGAATTTGTGGATAGAGCTTGAGACAAAAGATATTGTAAAAAAAGTCAAAAGATCCATATTAGCATGACACAGGATAAGACATAAGACATTATATTACGGGACTGCACCCAAACATAATGTATTCTAACCCTATTTAAAATTGGGCTAATTTTATTCACCACTAGGGGGCAGTGCAATGCCACAAATTAATCCACAACATTGAAGCTCCCAATCTGCGGTGCTTCTGGTTGACAAAGGCAGTGTTCAATTTAGCTCCTTCAAATAATCCTAAATTAGATTGCTTGTTTTTCCTCACAAAAGTATGACACAAGCACAATCGAGGAGAAAATGACCATATTTAGGTGATAACGTATGATTCTGTCAAACACAATACACATTTTGGAGCAAGTTAGTAACAATGATACACAAACATTAAATTAAAAAAATGATATATAGAGCTAAATCTGTTAAAGTGATCCATGAATATTCTGCAGGCTCAGAGCAGACTGAAAACAGATAGAAACTTAATATTGAGACTTTTATTGATTCTCAGTTATTAAAAAGGCTTTATCAATTTATATGATGTATTAATTCATCTGAAGTACAAGTGTGATGGAGAGAACAGAGAGCTAAGGTGGCTGGCCCAAAATAAACAGTATCTGCTGTGAAAACTCAACTGGCTTTGGTCCACTGCCTCTGGATTAATTGGGAAAGTAGTCCATGCGACATGTGCAACAAAGCCTCTTCTCGTAACATAATTATTCATTTTTGCAATTTCAAGAATAAAGTGCATTATGATATTTATGTTATGTAAATCTCACCATCACCGCCACGTCACACATGTTGAGCTGGGGAAAACCCGGCACCAGAGTCTTCTTATGCTGCTCCACTACTGGAGAGATCCTGCTCAGCACATCCTGGTACTCCTTAGTCAAAACACTGCAAACACACAATGCACAGAGTCAGTAAAGCTACAACTAACAAGTTTCATCCTCCATTGTTTCACCATTTTTTTATTTCAATTTATGGATCAATCTAAATAAAAAATACAAAGGTGGAAAAAAGTCCTTCCCAATTTTCATCTTCAGATGTCTTATTTTCAATTTAAAATGATAAATGACAAAGACAGGCAGCAAATCCTGACATTTAAGAATGAAGTAACCAACGGATGTTTGGCAATTTAAAAAAATCGAATAATTGCCAATTATTTTTTGAAACAGTTGAATATTTTTCTGTCAATCAATTAATCCACCATTTGTTAAATAAACAAGTGAAACAATGGCTTTACCATCAACAGCACTAAATGAGTTTATAAATGTAAATACACACACATACACACAGCCAGTATTGTAGTAAATGCACTGCGCCCATGCATCCAGTACAAGCTTTACTCTTTATATCAGAGAGGGAAAATTATGTAGCTTTCAACAACAGAATAAACGTTCAAACACACAGGCTGTCCACTCAGGCAGCCTCAGCAGGGTGAACTGTAACCTCTATCCCATCCCCTGTCTCTCAATTACCGCTGTTGGACACCAGTGAGCCCGAGCACCTCTGTGCATTATTATATTCAGTGTGTAAAACACAGGGGCCCCGAAGGCTTTCAAAGGAACGCTGCTCTCAATAGGACCTGTGGGGTTAATGGGCTATGTGTGCTCGTGTGTGTGTGTTGGGGGAGTGGACGTCTGGTGGCGTGACACACAGATAGACAAATATCAGCAGTGCAATTACACCCCTGATACACTCGCCGGCAGCACCTGTGCCAGCCTTCCATCCTCCCTCCACTGCAAACCCAGCCCTCTGATTGGCCCCTGGGGAACATGTGCATGTGTGTGAGGTGAAGTGTCAATTAGAGTAATAACCCCAGGCCCTGTCCAGCTCACACCTACCCTCCCGCTTAGATCTCCCACAGGGCAGCAAGGCTTTCTCCATCAGCTAGCACCTGCTCCTTTCCTCGATACTCTTTACTTTCCCCTACAATTACTCGACTGGTAGGGCACCGGCTACAATTAGTCTCTCTCCTGGTGTCCCTTTTTTTCGTCATGAGCTAACTATCTACGCATTGTGACCCTGGCTGGATTACTCCCCTCGGTTGCAAATCAAGACATTCAGATAAAATTGCTTCAGCTATCTAAAAGCAAATTCTGCTTTCGCCCGATCTCGATCAGCAAGAGGGATATTTCATTCCCCTCCTATCTGCGCCCGCTACTGATTGCTGAGATTCATTTTGTGATAAGTGAGAACTTAACAGAAGTAAATGTAAGGGAGATTCATCAGACTGCTGTAAGTATTCCATTCCCCACACAAGTCTGCAAGCAAAGCATGCCATGCACTGAGAAACTTGCGCGAGACATTACGTTTTCTTTTGTTTTGTCTATGCACTCAAAATCTCACACTGCAGACCTCTAAATCAAAAACTAATAATATCATTTGTTTATGCCCCCGCTGCAAACAAATAACAAAAAGCCCACAGTCAGCACGGCTCATTATCATGATTATAACCCTTAGCTTACTGGTCTAGAGACAAAAATCTGGAATAATAAGCAGGCTCTATGCAAATGGAGTCTTTTGATTTATAATGTATGGCACCCACGGGGGAGGGGGCATTGCTCAGGTGTGTCACCACTCTGATTACTGATTCATAACACTATTGCTGGAACACACACACACACACACACACACACACACACACAACCACACAGTGGCAGAAGGTGGGGGAATTGAGGAGACAATCAAATACATCTGTCCTGACTACCCCTCCCCTCCACCACCTTCTCCACCCCGGTGGAAATTGAGCACTTCAGTAAGGACTATTGATTGGGGACACAAGAGCTTGGTGGCAGGCAGCAGATGAGGCCAGACTGTGCAGGGCTGCCTGCAGTGTTGGAGCTGGGACTACACTCTGGATGGCCGGGGCTCTGGGGACGTGAGCTGAGGTAGGTGGTGTAAAAGAATCATGTGTTAACCTCAGCCTTAGGGCACAGACATGGAGGGCAAAGTGGAAGGAAGCGAAAAGGCTTAGAACGACTCCAATGGGGATCCAAACTCTGGGTAGATGCAGACCTGGCTGGGTTTGTGCTTCATCCTGGAATGACGGACCATCAACGCAGGACCTCCAACTCCAATCAAATTTGTCTAGGCCTCTGTAGTTTTGTTCGTACATTTTCTCTCCTGGATTGCATAATTATGATCTACTGTTTTTATGGGTGACTGTTCTGGACTGGGGATTGGGTGTGTGTGTGCGAGTGTGCTCTTTGCTAGATCACATCCTGCGACAGTAGTGAAGGTATGTGTGCAGACAGGCCCTACATCATCTTAAGTGGCTCTTTAGGTGTAGACAGAGATTAATGACGGCCAGGCAGCCGGTCCAGCTGGGGGACCGAGGAGCACATGGACAAAACGCACACATACACATGTGTACACACAAACACACACTTAACTAGGATGGAGGAGAACGGTCCCAGTGGACGCAGAGGGACAGCAGCTGAGTGGTGAGAAGTGAGTTGAGGTGGAGAGAGAGAAGAAACAAGGGAAGAGGTAAGAGAAAAGTTTGGAGAGGAACGGGAATGTATAGTGAAAGAAGAAGAACAGGGAAGAGGTCATTCAGCTGGGTTTAGGGGAGCGGGGGGGATCCTTGCAAACAAACTCTACTGCAGAGGTGAAAAATGAGTGGGCATATTTGGTTTGTGTGTGTGGGTGCACACACATCTAGCACTCAGCCCAACACATGGCTGCGTACTGATTGCTTTTTGCTTCTTTTTTTTTTTTTTATTCTTCCAAGTGAATAGCAGGGCTAAAAGGTGAGCAATTGAAAAACAACATTAATGTTTTATCATCCAATCTCACTACAAAGCCGAACGAAGTTAGGGAAGGAAGCAAAGAGGAGATGAGGCCGGAGCGGAATGCGAGAGGCAGAGCTGCAGAAGGCAGAAAAGAAAGGTCAATCTACGAGGTTTTACGGCAGGACGGAGCCAAAGCGAACATGGAGCACAAGAGAATATTCTCTCATCAAAGCCGGTTTTGAGATTATCTTAATGTATTAGTCATGATGTCAGCCTCCGTCATAGTTTCTAAAAGATTACATCAATATTCTGCACTGACGGTATGCAGTAAAAGACAACGCTCATCTGCCTTTGCACCCTTATTTAGTAATAGTCTTAGTTCAGCCTTGGTTGTCTGTGTTCCATGGCGTCACTCCATCCTGCGATTCTTAACTCTCCTTTGAGCGAAAGCAGAGACACACAAAATTCCATTAAACAGCACTCGCTCTCAATTTAGACCTGGACAATTTATCTTGCAATTTGAACCTGCAGCGGTGCACCGGAGTGCTGAGGGCCAGATAGTGATCTTTAAGGAGCTGTTTGCAATCACAAAGAGAAAGGGTGTAATCAGGTGTGCTCCGGCTGAGCGGATCAATCCAACGCCTTCTTTTTCATGCCACTGAGCATTGATCTCATACACATTCAGCGCTACCAACAGGCAAACTGCTTTCCTATTCTCACCCCTCTCTAGTTCATTTTCTAGCACCTCTTCATTTGCTCCTGTTGACTCCCTTCTCCCCCTGCTCTCAATTGTTTTGCCTCCCCTCTCCTACTGGAAATCAGCTGTAATCAGGGTTGAAGTTTTCAGGGAACTAACCTGATGGGGTACTTTTCCCCAGGATCCTGCCCCAGGTGGAAAATGATTGGCTGCAGTGTGTGCTCTTTCTGGTCGTGAGTAGTCACGCCCGGGACCTCTTGACCTGGACAGAAGTTGATGCCCTGCAAGACACAAAAAGACAAAAAACGTTGCCTCGATTGCACAATACAGATGTGTACAATATTTGTATATTTATTATAATGTAACTTAAGCAGAGTATGAATTAGGTTAGTGACTGATAATACAGTATACTGTAGAGAGTAAAATCTGACAAGTAAGGAGGAACGAATGAACCCTTCAGATCAGAGAGAAGCTTTTCTTTCTCTCCATGTTTCTATATTATCTGATGTTATTCTACATGCCTGCTATGATTTATTTTTACACCACTAAGAACCTTTCACCACTCAGCATGAGCCGTGGCTCTGTCTTCTGTATGTATGCTGGTACGAGAGTGCAACCCACCATATAGGAAAGAGAAGAACAGCCCTGTTTTGGCTCAAAAGCTCAGGCTCTCTCTTCAGAGCAACCTAACATAATATTTAAGGTCAGTCATACAGGTAAGAAAGTTTACTTTTCATGCAAAACAAGTCAAACCTTTCTTTAACTTCCTTCCTTTTTTGCCATGGTGTGTATTGAATTTGGTTGCGTTCAGTGGTCTATATTTGTTTTTAGGTGTTTTATCTTGTGAAATAAAAAACTCTAAAGTCAGCTAAAGAGACCTGGATGTCTAGATTCAGGCTTGCAGCCACCTGCTACTCTGAGCTAAATGCTAAATCTCATTGTAGTATGGCCTACAGGCATGTCCTCCAATCTGTTTCGTTATTCGTGCGGCTAATATTGGTACATCATGAAGGGGTTCAAGTAACTGGCAAAATAGAGGACTTTTCTTCCTTGTACTGCCTCCCCCCCTTCATCTCTCCATGCCTTCGCTCCAGCTCCCCGACTCCATTCTCGTGAGTCTGGCAGTGATCGCAGCCAGGATTGAGTCACACTCACTCCTCCAGAACCCCCTGGAGATCTGCCCCCTTCTTCAACACACACAAACACACACTTTTTGATGAGCACAACTAATATTGAGAAAGCATTCATCTGTAAGGCACTGTTGCTGCCCCCCCTCTGAGATCGCTCAACAAAGCACCTCAAAAATACATAAAGAAGAGAGAGAGAGAGAGGGCGAGAGAGAGTGCAAGGGATAGATGCCCCCCACCCTGCAGAGCCTCCTCTGATCCAAACTTGTCCTGTCTTCTGAAGACAGGAGCTTAGAAATGCAGAAATAAATGAAAAGAAATCCCAGAGGAGCAGCCAGAAAGGCCTGCTGTGTTGGTCTCTCTGTCTCTTGTACATAAGACATAACAGCAAGGACTCCATATCTCCTCTGACATTAATGCTATGGATACAACCCGGCTGCTTTCAAACCGGAGCAGAGCAGTCGCCATTACAAGATAAGGTGCAGGAGCATCCAGCGGTGGCAGGATGGATCTTGGAAAAGGAAGGTCTTTTTGATCAAAAAAGGTAAAAGTATGACCTGAAAGAACAATAACTTTACATAGCTTGTGGCTGATTATTTAAAACTATATATATATATATATATATACTGTTAATATATTTAATTTCTACTTCATGGATTTGACTACATGCATGTAAGAATTGCAGTTCATCTATAGATTCTCTGCAAACTAACTTCAGTAATGTACGTTGTGACTTGTTGCCATAAAGTCAGTGAATCTGTGCTTTTTAGCAAGCAAAGGTGTGTAAATGTTATGAGTTACAATCTAGAGCAGCTACTGCACAGTCTATCTCATTTCAATTCCTGCAACATAATTCATGAAGAAATTGATGACATAACAAGTGTTCTGACTAACAGGGGTCTGGGGAAAGAAGTAATTTTTCATTTTTTATTCATCACTTTGTGAAGTATCCAACAACGTTAAAAAAGCTATCCCTGCTGCCATAAGGCTCCTATTGTATCAGAGGTTACTCAGCAATCCAGATACAAAGGAGCCACAGTCACAACAAACTATATTTTGCAATATTAACATCACAACACTGCCTCAAGAGAGTTTGATGAGGGCCATTTAAGCCTGTGAAATTTCTCATTTTGCTCATGGCTGTGCCGAACACAGCCAGGACGGAGCGATACGTCTCTCGTCTATTAACCTGTAATTTTGTTCTTCTTCACAGACACACATCTTCCCTTGTTTATTTTCTTACCATGGGCCAGGAAAAAAAATATATATATATTTTAAAGTATTACCAAAGCTGAAGTACAAGCAGGAAAACATTACTTTTATTCCAGTAAAAAGAGGATTGATTGTGTATTTCTGCTGCAAGAAATTAATTGACGCCTATATGGGAGTTTTAAGGGTCCAGATCATTTTGAAATGGTCAATAATCCAGGTCATTCGTGCAAGTGAAGGCCTAAATAAGGACCTTGAAACATACTGTCCTTTTCAAAACATGTCGTGCGTAGTCTGACCGTGTGAAACAGCTCAATAAGTCAGTTTGTTTACATTTCTCATGTTTATAAAATGTACTATGAGTTACATGAGATGGACAGTTTAAGGATTCAACCATAATGACACGAAGCATATTGGGAATTTAACTTTCCCTCGAAGGAGCTCAACAGTCACTCCATAAAACACACACAGACATCTATGGACAACCGAACGTTCATGCACAAGTTTTCTCTCGTCCTATATCTCTCTCTCTCTTTCTCTCTCTCTCTCATATACAGACACACACACACACCAATCGATAGGCAACTCACAGGCAATCAGACGCCATTATTTGTGAAGTTCCACTTCAGTTCACATGAGCTGATAAAGGAGGCTGCTATTGATTCAGCGGCCCTGAAGGAGAGAGCAATTTAAGCGACCGATGGGGCATAAAACAAACTGGAAAACAGGAAAAGCAGAGTCATGATGGGAGGACAGGAGGACATGGTTTTCTGGACAGAGGAGAGGAAGAAGGACCACACTATCCTGCTTCTCAAGTGTCAGATTTCACATCTCTCCTGGTGCATTTAATCAGCATCGAGTTGCTGTAATTACGGCCGAGAGATACTGCTGGCATCTGCCTATCTTTCTTCCTTTTGAGCTCCGTGGTGCCAAAAAAGAACAAGTCTACAGCAGGGAATGTCGCTATGTAAATGTAGAGGAAGAAAATCTCCATGGAGTCACAACAAACAAGTCAACTGGTTGATGAATGATGTAAGTTCGCTGATGTGGGGGTTCTTCATTAATATTCATTACGCTCTGATGTACACAGCAGTCAACTGATGAGCCATTTTCAAGATAACACCAACAGTGAATGTTTTTGTGTGTTTGAGTAAGATTAGGAGAGACAAAGAGGGAGGATGTAGCAGTGCAAATCAAGAACTGAGGAAACAGAAAGCGGGGACAGAGTTGCTGTGTTACAGGGGAATCTTACGTTGTTAAACTCTTCCCATGAGTTGCTCCAGGTCCAGTAGTGTGCCTTGTATTCTCCAAGTCTCACAGCCATCAGCTCATTCCCACGGTAATAGAAGATCGGCCTGTTGAGGGGGAGAAGGGGGAGAAGGGGGAGAAGTATTGCTCTTTTAAAAAAACATTCTCTCTTGGCATGCTTACACTTCAGTGCACTCTCACTGTTTTCTACCCATTCTTGCAATTTGTTTAACCATCCAGCAACATGAAGTTTCTAACTCTCTAAAAAAATCATTCAAGTCATCGTAATATTTTAATTAAATTAACTTACATGAAACAACAAGATTAAGAGCCTCCAGCCATACTAGCAGCTCTGTGGGGCTGTACTTATCCACAGTGGTGCTTTGAGCTGTACAATGTGTACAATGTGAATGCTAACATCAGCATGCTGCTGTTTAGCAGGCTTTAATGCTCACTATCTTCACCATCTTAGTGTTAGCATACAAGAAGTTGCAACTAGCATTAAGCTCAAAGTATAGCTGAGGTGGATGGGAATGTCATCAGTTAGGCAGGTATTTGGTCTTTTGAGCGGATGATGACACTAGAGGAAAAGTCATAACACTGCTCTCCCACTCAGGGATGTGATCATGAACATAAAAAGAGGATCTGGGCCCCAAAGTAAAGGCCCCAAACACCTAAAAGCAACAGCTAGTGTGCGAGTACTCACCTGCTTTGGAGTGCATGTGAGCGGTTCAGCAGGACTGGTGTCAAGTCCAGTCCATCCAGGGCTCTGGCATCAGGAGGGCTGATGCCGGCCAGAGCCAGACTGGTGGTGAACAGGTCCATCACATTGGCCAACTGGATATTCACCTGGTAAAGGACAAAGGAATTGAAATCCACAATCACTATCTGAGCTATGACAAGCAATTTCACACAACCGGTAAGTAAGGATCGAGAAAAAGTGAAGAACTTTGATGAAATGAGGACTGGCCAAATGTCCTTAAACATAAATTGGTCCTCATTGGTCCTTGATTGTAATAATAATACTTATAATACTCACAAATCAAGTAATAATTGTTTCATGGTGCAGGAATACCAAAAGCGTGCTCATTTACGCTGCATTTTCTTTTTGACGGCAAGCGAGGCAACAATGCATCGTCATGATAGTTCTGTATACACATGTAGGAAAGAGGTGCATTTCTTCTAATCTCTGCTTGCAGGTTTATTATAGAGCCTGCAAAATGCCTCTCCTTCTAAATTAGTTTTTTGGGGGAGAAAAGGGAAAAAGGAGGAGCGAAAAGAAAGAGGAGAGAAAGTAGGGAGAGGACGAGGCGCGGGCAAGCAGACGGCTGGAGCTGGAGCGAGCTGCTGTTTTATCTCCTTCTCCCAGTCCCAGTGAAAAGCTTTATTTTATTTATAAACTTTGAACTATTTTCAGATAAAGTGACATTTTTTCGTTGTCATCCTTGATCTTCCCTTCCATTCTCTCCTGAGCGAGCCTTAGAGGGAGACGGCACGCTCACAATCAGATAGCGCTATCAGGCCTCTGCAGCTGCACCGCCATGTGCCGCTGTGCTCCTATCGGCAGCCAGCACACATATAGACAGACACACAGACACACACACACACACACACACACACACACACACACACACTCACACAAGCTCCTTAGCACTGAAATGAATTCCCCTTTCTTCTGTATCCACAGAACCAGCCACAGAAAAGGCTTTGCAATGCATTCCATGATCTATCGGCACATCCAGACACTCACCCTCTCTCTTTCGCTCACACACACACACAGATTTAGTCCTTCACTTCATTTTTTTTTTTTGTTAAGTCCCCCCTCACACAGACGCACACAAACCATTAAAAGAAGACAGGACACAAGAAAAGGCAAAACTGACATTTACTTAGTAATAACTTGCATGACCACAAAAGCAAAACTTTCGGACTCTGACTGCTCTGACAGAGGAATTTATCTAAGGAGTTGGCATCTGTTAATTCTGTCCGTCATTGGCTCGGCCCCCTTTTGCAGTCCATACTGAACTTCACTCTTTATTCACCCTTTTTTTTCCCCATTTTGACTGACTCATTCCTCTCCATTAATGTCACATTCTTTTTCTTGCATTTCTCTCCGTGTTGTGAGTGGTGATGTTGGTTATCTGAGGAGGCGGTTCTTCTATCCCTATCCCTGCCATTCTGCCTGTGTGTCTGTGGCCTGATAAAACACAACAAAAGGGATTGTGACCCTGGACAACGTTGTGGGGCCGACACCCCACCCGCCTCCCAATCTTTGTTCCTACATCCGCCACCCCTCATCATCCGGGCCCCTCAGGCACTGGGAGAATGCTGAATCTGCACCTGCTTCAGACCGGCCATGCTCCTCCATTCCAGTACACATCCAGCTATCCTCCTAAATATGAGAGAATGGCAAACGATTTCCAGACAAAAAACTTGTCTCCTCATCTTGACACTGTAAAGATGCATCTGTTCTCAGTCACTACAATAAACCTGCTGGAATTGCCCCCTAGCAAAGGCCTGCATGACTGTTTGTTGTCTGCAGCATTTTGCTCAAAGAGCTTGTGGACTTTTCAATACACAGATCGACAGAGATTTCGGAAGACCACAAAACAAGAGAGGGGGCAACCCTAGGCCTGGTCTGTCCTCCTTTCCAGAGTGATGAATCCAGAGCTGTAGAGTACAGTAGCTCCAACAAAGCAGCTTTGTCATCACAACCCCAGAGAGCTTCTACTGACCCCTCGTTCTCACCACCAAGCCACAACATGAGAAAGAAAGCATCTGTGACACATACATACAAAAGCATGCATATATATATATACTGTATATATGCAGGCATGTAGAATGACACAAAAATGACAGAGACATGATCTCCACATTTGCACACGCACACACAGGTCAATTATAAAGTGGCACAGGTGCAGCAAAGCCCCGCGAATACGGCAACATTCCTGGCAGTGTGGCAGTGCCAGCGTCTTTAGCACTCTTCCTTTTCTCTTTTCTACACCAGCCACCTCTTTTACTTCTTCCTTGCTCCCCCCCCCCCACAACCCCTCCCGTTCCTTTATCCTGAGCGCCTGGCATATTCAGATACTGAAGTCCTCATTACGGCTCAATCCAACCTCAGCAAACACACAAACAGATTAGCCGCTTAAGACGCTCCCAATCCCCCTCTCCCTCGCTACTCTGCTGTGCTATCAGGCCCCAGCACACCCCTGTGAGATGAGCCAGGGGCAAGGCTTACTGCAGACTGCAGCCTCCGCTCGCTCCTCCACCAAATCCCTCTGCGTCACAGCCCCGTGTCACAGCTGCCCCTAATACAATTAAAAGTCATTTGCAGAACGCACAGGCTTAGAGGATCACGGTGTGGGTGGGGGGTTAAATTGGGGAGGGGGAGCGAGGAAAGAGAGAGTTTGGAGCATTAATTCCAGCCAAAAAATATTTGAGGAAACAGTGGAAAAAGCGCCCACACACTGTGTGGCCGCAATCACAGAGTTTATCTTTACTGTTTCTGGGGTTCAATCCCTCGATAGAAGTTGAACATATTCAACTGGTTACAGCGCCACTGGGTCAGTGTGTGCACATGTTAAAGTGGTAAACGATACGCAAATGAAACAAAAAGCAACAATCATTCAAAAGAGAGGATTAGTGAAATCATTTTTCCTTTACTCTCAACCCTGTTTTGCAGTCCTGTACATCCCCTGCAGCTTAATAGACAACATTTCAGCTCCTGGTACCTGTTGATAGGCAGAACATTAAGGAGTTTGGGGGGCAAACTCGGCTCGGGATCCTGGGTCTAGTTTAGTCTCTAAAGAAGATTGTAGGGATTAAGTGAATGATCGTCTTGGATTTTCTTGTGGAGGCTTTATTTGGTAAAAGCTTTAAATCACAGGGGTGTTCTCACCGTGCCTCCTTTGATGTGTCCAGGCCACCAGGCAATGGCTGGCTCCCTCATGCCCCCTTCAAAGGTGGTCTCCTTCCCGCAGAGGAACGGCCCGTTGCTCCCGCCTCAGGAATCAGACGTGCAAAAACTCAAATTACACACATACAGTACAGAAAATGTGTCTTGGACAAATATACACTAACTTAGTTTCACAACGTGATGAGTGAGTGTGTGTGTGTGTGTGTGTGTGTGTGTGTGTGTGTGTGTGTGTGTGAGTTTAGCGTTGAGTTGAGTTTAGTGCCCACCTTCGTTTGGAGAAGATATTAGAGCAGCTCCATTGTCTGATGTGAAGAAGACAAAGGTATTATTTTCGATGCCCTGACTCTGCAGCAATGACAGGATCTGACCGACGCTGTAGTCTAGCTCCATCACTGCATCACCATATCTACACAACACAGACAAACACAGCTTGTATCATTCCCCAGGTGAAATAAATTAAGTTATAACCTTATGCAGCTCTTGGACAACAAAAAAAAACAGTAAGGTAGGATATAACGTACCGGCCTCGCTCGCTCTTCCCTAGGAAGCGTTTGGAGGCATAGACAGGGGCGTGAGTGGCGTCCGCTGCCCAGTAGAGGAAAAAGGGACGCTGGGCCTCAGTCTGACGGACTATGAAGTCAAGACCTTCCTGTAGAGGTGGGAGGTGTGAGAGAGTGTTACAACACTGTCAGTGCAGATGGCAAATGTAGCTTGATTCTCAGTACTGCTGTCATTTGGTCCAACATAAGTAACCGCTTTCTTGTTTTCCTACCACACACAAATTCTATGTTTGGCCTTTATTTCATTTTCCAAACAATCAGCCACATCAACAACAACGCTACTGAAGCCAGTCTAGTTCCATAAGACATGCTGATATGAGCTTTACAGAGCTCGACTTGACAGATCTTCCTCTTGTGATGGCAGAGTGCACCTTTCAAGCATGCAGTCTGTCTCTGCACGCTGCTTTTGATCCCTTCAGGAACTGAACGGGAGGGACTCACGTAGGCAGCAGAGATAATCAAGACGAGTGTGTGCAATCCAGTCTATTCAACAATCCACTTCTGCTGGTTGAAAAGCACCGTAATAATCAAAGGCCAAAATCAGGCTTTAATTACGCTTTTGATTTGTTGAATAGATTGTATTGTGTTTTTTATGTTTTGGTGAGCAAAAGACAATTTTCCACTCTGGTGGACAATACAATTGTATTCTATTTCCTTCTATTTTATAAATTGTTTTATAAGGTAAACTGTGAAACACAGTTGGGTGTACCTGGCATGCTCTACTGAAAGGGTTGTATCATCTGAGATAAGTAAGCCTTAACTCACCACCAAGTACATCTGTGTGAGGTTGGACTCTCCAGTCTTCCTGTCAATCTTAAACTCCTCATAGTATCTGGAAAACAAGTGGGTTGACATGATTTATTAAATAAGCCTTCATCATTAGTTATTCATCATCCCATCTGAATAACTGCTGTCCCCACACCGTTCAATTTCTCCGCTGCTTATTCAACCGCATGAAATGATTCTTTCACAACGACCTGATTGTATTGTCAGGGCTTTCAATCTCCCTCTCAATTGACCGGAACTACTGCAAGCCATATCAGTAAGACAATGGGGGCAAATTTCCCTCTTGCCGACTGTGTTTGCAGCAGATTTCGTGAAAGATATACTCGGGAAGTCTCAGTAGAGCTGAGCAGAGGGAATTGTTATGAGGTGTTGCTGAAGCGTGGCGCGGCGAGGCGAGCAGAGAAGCAGTGACAGGCATCTCTCTTTCTTACGCTTCACTTCCTCCAGGTGTCCTCGCACACAGCCAACGCAACCTGCCGTCTCTTGAGGGCGAAAGTGTGTGTCTGTGTGTATACATTTCTATGAGTGTGTGTGCATGTCTGTCCAGGGCCCAGGTATGCAGCGCTGATTAAACCCACGACTAAGCGAAAAACACGCCCGGCTGCCAGTTCCAATGACCCTGAATACACATATGGCTGTTTTGGGGAAAACAAATGGGCGGAAAATGGAATACACAAGCACAGCTGGTACAGAGAGGGAAGAGGAGGGGAGACACTCAACTCATCCAGAGGAGCAGCCAGCCAAACTATTCCACTGAGTCACCGGGGAAAGAAGATTTTAATAGATTTTCAGGCTCTGTTTCTGTCTGCTGTTATGTATATCTGAGTGCTTGTGTGTGATGCTACCTGCCAAGCATCTCAGAGTTGTTGTAGACAGGGATGTTGGGTCTGATACTGCTGTTGTAAGGGCCAAAGTGGCAGTCCGGCGCACCAAACCACTCATCAAAACCATTCTCCAGAGGCAAGTACTGAGGTCTGTGGCCCAGATGCCTGTAGTGACAAACAAAGTGCACTCACACACCGTAAGATCAATGTGACTGAAGGATCATTCTGCATGTTTACATTCAGACCAATACTACAAATCTAATTAACTTGTGCTACTACACACCTTTTTAAAAAGCACAACATACTTATATTAATATTTGATTGCAGTGCCTGCCTTCAGTGCAGTACGTAAATAAGCTTTTGCAGAGCATTGAAACTTTGAGACGAGTTGGTAATCTAACACAGCAAAGATGTGCTTTTAAAATACGTAACATTAGACATGTGGGGTACATACAGAGCAAAAGCAAAAGAGAGATAATATTCCGTGTGATCAATTATCTCAAAAGAACTTCATACCACACAGAAAGGAAGGCATACCAATGGGTGCCTTAATGAGCGGACAAAATACATTCTACAATCTGGAATAAGTGTATACTGTGATAAATGACCATCAGTAATGTTACGAATACATGATTTGTAATTAATTGACTAAAATATGCGAATATCATTTTCTATTTAAATTTAATTCACAGGCTCCATCACCTGTCGTCATCAACACAACCTCTAAAACAAAGATTACAGAAAGACATAGAGCTCACCATTTGCCAACTATCTTGCTGACATAGCCCTTTTTCTTCAGCATCTGGGGAATCAAAATCTCATCCTTAGAGATTCCTCCCACTATCTCCTGTGGTGTGTATGCTACAAGAAATGTCAGAGATATTTAGTGTACAAGACTTTCCACGACTTTATTGCACATTGTACATTATAGACTGAGTAATCAGAAAGCCTGCAAGCAATAATTTGCACAGTAAGGACATATTAAGGTTGTACCGTTTCTCGCGTGGGCATTCGTGGTGTAGAAACCGTTTCTGACAGGCAGCCTCCCGGTGAGAAGTGCAGCTCTGGCTGTCGTTAAAGTTATAGAAATGATTTTATTATTATTATTATTATAATTACATTATAACTGTGTTCCAAATGCTTATATTACTGGCAAACAAATAGTCATGTGTGCTTTATTCTTTGCACCAATGTCACATCATTTCTCCAACAACTTTGGTTGAATACTTGAATCAAATATAACATTCGTACTTTATTGTTATAGTAATAAATATATGGATTGTAGTTTAGTATTTTAGTTTTCTGTAACTACCAATACCCTTTATTTATCAACTGCTATGAATGGCTGTGATTCAACTCAATTATGTACACTGATCACTGCTGTAAGGTTTTTATAAGTTCTCATGAACTAACTGCACACAAACTCTATTCTGAATCCATAGCATTTTACATGGAGACGTTCAGTAAAGCATGGAGATGATCAAACTGGAGTTTGAAGGTTTCACACAACAGTAATGTGACAACACCTCATGCTGTGCTCTGTTTTGCATATTGTATTTAAATGACGCAAGCTTGTTTTTATCAAATCACAAGTGTGGTTCTGAGTTGGGTCAATAGTGTTAAGTTTATACTTTCATCAATTAGGTGTTATTCCAACGTTTCATTGATGTGACAATAAGAACACACGTAGAGACAGAAGGCTGTGATGAGAGACGGAAATTAGTCTAACATCTTGCAAAACAGGAAATGCCGGGTACGGTTCTCTGTTATAACAGTTTCTGCTAACTCACATGGGGAACAGAGTGGGTTTGCGGTGTAGAAATTTGGGAACAGCATGCCTTGGGCAGCCATGGCATCCAGGTTGGGGGTCTCTTTAGAAGGCTGGCCAAACACCCCCAAGTCCCCCCAACCCATCTGAAGAGCAGAGGGAAAGAACTGAGAGATTATATACATTCACACCAAGAAAGATAAAACACACATAAACATTGAGCAAGCTGCAATGTGTTCAATGACATGTACAGTGACAGAGGGTACTCCTCATGACCAACAGACACAGACTGGGAGAAGGAAAGAGACAGAGAAACATGTTCTGAGCTGTCAAACTGATTCACTGCTCAAACTAAACTGTGCTGCTGATGTGATGAACTAAAGTCATACAAAACAGGAAATAACTTACGTCATCCATGAGCAAGATGATAATGTTTGGAGATGAAACATTTGATGTCTTTTCTGTGACGGAGCAACATATTAATGCATAGAAGACAGTCAGAGTTACAGTAGACATCAGTCGCATTGCTGTGCTGCAGCTTGCTAAAGTCATATGATCAACTTCGAGGAAGTGACTTGTTTGCCTTCATGCGGGTCATCAGCGCAACGCTTACGCATACACAGCAGAACAATTGTTTTGGATGTGTTTTGGATTGAAATAAATTTAAGTTTTCCATAAATTTTAGCGTAATGGATTTTATTTATTTGACTTATGAATGTTCAACTATGAGTAACTGCAACCGTGTTCCTTGATAGCTAGTGGATTCAGGGACTTCTGGTAAATGTTGTACGTGCGAGAGATCATTCTAAATAGGTCGGGAAAGTAGAAAAATTGACGATATATGTTTGCAAATACTTTTGGTCAATTAAAGTACCACATACTGACAAATAATACTTTTTATGAGTAATACATGGCTTAAAAAACAGTCGTGATTCGTCTTTGTTGCCACTTGTCCAACAGCGTTTGAATGCAGCGTGTCACGTGACAGCGTCTGACAGCTCAGAGGAGGAACACCAACATGGCGGTGTGCATAGCAGTGATCGCAAAAGAGGTAATGATTGCTGTCGTTAAATGCCCCAGGTTTATCGGTGGCCTATTTTTAATGTTGAAACAAGTTTTGCCTCTTCTTATGATTATCTCGAAGCAAATGTCAGCGTTATCTGTGTGCCTAATGGTCCATTAGGTTGAAACACTTCAACAGCTAACGTTAGAGAGCTAACAACATTAGCATTGTTGGCTGCGGTTACAATTTGCGGCAAGTGGTGAAAATGTGATGCTTTTAAAGGGCTCGTCGTTGTGTGTGTCCTTTCCCAGAACTACCCGCTGTACATCCGCAGTCTGCCCACTCAAAATGAGCTGAAGTTTCACTACACCGTGCACACCTCTCTGGATGTGGTGGAGGAGAAGATCTCAGCAGCGGGCAAATCTTTGGGAGACCAGAGAGAGCTGTACCTCGGTCTGCTCTATCCCACTGAAGACTACAAAGTGTATCCTTGGTTTCTTTAAAAAGGTTAAAGGTTAGGAAAATCCCACGAGGGAAGTACTCCAAGCGCCTGATTTATCTTTTAATTAGAGAATGCATCTTTGAAAGGGTTTAGACTGTTTTACGGTGTATTATCTTTCGATTGCCACCACATCTTTATTAAATCTGAACTTAAATACACACACCTCTACTCATCAAGAAAGAGTCTGAAATTGTTAGATATAGACATGTCTCCTATTGTTGTAGGATGGTTTATGTCTGGATGTAAAGTCTGATACTTATTAAAACGTATTCTAAAAAGTGAAACGGAATCTCTGCACATACTGTAAATAGTCTCTTGCAGGGGAAACCGAGTATCCTTGACTGGTGAACTAGATATGGGTATGTAACCAACTCCAAGGTGAAGTTTGTCATCGTTGTGGACTCGTCAAACACATCATTACGGGACAATGAAATTAGAAGTGTAAGTTAAGCCTACGATTGGTCTTATTGTTGCATGTGTACTAATCAAATACAGCTCTGCAGGCATACTTCTCTCAAAGCCACATTGGAATTGTTTAAATATCTACAAACTGTTGATCTAGTTACACAGCATAGGCGCAAGTGTTGAATTAAACCTAGTCTCACTTTGCCTCAGCATACATTTTATGAACAGTACCAATTCTCTCTCCCACAATGTGTTTCACTGTAATGATCCGATGGCTGAATGTAAGCTTTTCCAGAATGGAACTACAGTTTTGTCAATGATTTAGTTGGTTATGACACTAGTGCAGAATCTTTAAATCACATTTTCAATGCCCGATGCGCAATGACAACAATTTTCTTGTTTTTTTCCCCCCCAGATGTTCAGAAAATTACACAACTCTTTCACCGATGTAATGTGCAACCCATTCCACAATCCCGGGGACACCATTCAGTCCAAGTGAGTTTATGCTTTACTTGATATTCAAAAGGATTTGTATCACTGACATTCTCCAAATCTTGCAGTGTTTTAATTGTTGACAAATGTTCCTCCAGGGCCTTCGATGGCATCGTATCTGGAATGATGGTACAAACTGGCTGACTTTTCTTCCACCCCATCTTCTGGGCCTCCACTGTACAGAACCCCCCCCTAATCCTATTGTTTACACGTTGCCTTGACTAATGAAATGTGCAAGTAATAAAGCTTAATTGTTGCTGCACAATGGATCATTGTCTTTTATTTATTCACTTACATAGCAAAGAACTTGTAAGTTATACATAGGAAGGATTTATACAAGACATTGCAGGCAGCAACACAATACATTCGCATCAGTTTGTAAAAACAGTAAGAGATGCAACTGCATAACAATTTGAGGATTGCCCCATGCATTCACAGCAACATAAGCTTATAATGCAACACCTTTGGCCTTAGTCTTCATCCTTCACATCTCTTGAAGCAACTTAGGAAGTCATCTCTTCTGTCCATTCTGGCATCTCACACGATGCTGAACTCAGAAATGCCTGGAAACACTTCTTTAAAATAATCAGTTCTATTCGCCCACTTTATGTATGCTGTGGGTAGTGCTAGCGCTGTTGAGGGTAGTGCTGTCCACTCGCCCCCGCCCCCAACTCCTCCGACGGTGGGGTGATGAGAAGAAGACACGGGTAACGTTTCGGCATCTGTTCCTGGTAGTCCATGTGTCCCCACTGTCTCTTCCCCACTGAGGGGCCTCCGTAGTAAGGGTGGGGGGTTTGGTGTTGTGGCCTGATCGACTGGTACCGGAACCTACCTCGAGAGCTGCTCTGGTATCGAGGTGGACGGTAACCACGGCCTCGGCCTCTGGTGTGGCCACCTCTGTGTCCTCCCCTGTCTGTGGTGCTGATACCTGGCATATTGGTCCTCTTGGGCATTACCTGCAAGCCAAAGAACACCTTTTTTTGGTGTACCGTTTAGGAAGAATGATCCGTGTTTGTTGAATAGCAAACATGGCATTTCCTTAATGACAATCTTGATGCAGAGAAAGAAAGCGAGGAAAATGTTAACTTAACGGGTACTTTGACTGGTTCACTTTAAAAAAGGTAACATTACTAGAGTGAAAATTAAGTGGGGCCCAAATTACATGACCTTTTGAGTGAGGTTACAGTAAATAGGACCAAATGGCATTTCTCAATTCAACAGGAGGGATAAGGAGGCATCACATTACGAGGAAGTGTTGAATTGCAGGTTATAAACAGTATGGTAGAGCTCAAGTTATGCCCAATCAAAGTTAAAAAAAAAAAAAAAAAAAAAAAATATCCTTCCCCATATCAAATCAAACACATGCCCATACCTTCCATCCATCTATCCTAAACTCCCATGTCAGTGGTACTGTAGGCCGTATGGCACCTCTGACATTTGACTCACAGTTGCGAGTAGTCAACTAGTTTGAGGGTTTTCATGTAGTGCAACGCTCCTCACCTTAAGGACTCTTCCTCTGAACAAGGTCTCATGCAGACCAATAGCACTCTGCACAGAGTCTCGATCAGAGAATTCAATGTAAGCAAAGCTGTGAAAAGTAAAGAGAAAAAAAATGGATGGACAAAGAGTTGTATTCTGTGGTCAAACAGTGTCAGGTAGAATATATAAACTGTATGCACGAGCTGCACCCACCCCTTGGGATGGCCGGAGAACCTGTCACACAGGATGGTAACTCTGTTGACAGGACCACAGCCGTTGAAATGGATCTCCAGCTCGTCTGCAGTAGCTCCATAGTCTACCTGGGATTTGTTCAACAGTGCGTCAGATCAGGAATGTGAAAAGAAATATGCTCAGTATGAGGAAAAGACAAAGTCTTACATTTCCCACATAGACGGATCTGTTGTCTGCGTCTATTCTCTCTTCAGGAGTCATATTGTAGAACGGTCCTGTGGAGGAGAACAAACTGTATACACTGTTCTTGTGCATGCAATATGAAGTAAATACCACCTACACAGGGAGTCACTCCAGGTGACATTAACAATGATTATTCCACCAACAGATCTCTTGTATCATCTTTGGTAAAACATATCTCAGACTATGGCTCCCCTCTGATTACATCTCTGTTCTGAGGAGGAACCAAAAGGGAGGAAGTGGAAAGTGAAAGAGACGCACACAGGCAGAAAATAGCCACAGGCAGGAGGAGGACCCTTCTGGTTCTCTGGAGCTCACTGCTTCGTCTCATTGGGCAGTGATGAGGCACATGTGAACACTGTTGTGACCACAGTGAAGCGTCCCAGGTGTTAGCCAGATGGTGAAGGATGCAGCTACCTCACCTGCCTGGAGGCTGCGATGCTACACGCACCTGGCTACACTGTCGAGGCTTCCCAAATGCATAATCGGTGTTTAGCTGTCCACCAATGTGACACAGTAACAAACCACGAGGCAGATAAAACGCACGTGCAGTCTCACCAAGCCGAGGGCTGCTGGTCAGGTGCTGCATGTCTACCGCATCAAACCTCTCCTCTTCCCTCAGTCTCTCCGACTCCTCTTCCATCTCCATCTCCTGAACTCTGGCCTTGATGGCCGCCAGCTCCTGGGCAAGGAATCACAACATTGAAGTCACTGTGGCTTATACCGAGAACTGACACTGAAAACCAGACTGGGGACAAATTGAAAAGGGCATAAATGACTACCTAAAAGCCTGAATAAATAAGTGCTGAAACAGAATAGATAAAGATGCTTCCACACCAGGCATACACTGATTTGGGAATGTAAATTATATGCTGTGGCCTTCAACGTTACCAGATCACAATGCAATTTAACACTGTAGCATCAAAACACATAAAAAGGGAATATGTTTCAGATGAGCAGTGTTACCTCAAAAGATGTGGGGAGGCCTATAACGAGGAGCCTTAAAGTTGTTCTGGTGGCCCAACATCTTATGTATTGTAGACTTTATTTTCCTCGTATTTGTCGCCCAAATTGGTATAGATTGTGATAAGACTCAGACTGATATTTTACTTTTAATTTCTGGTTTACAATGAAACCAAAGTATTATTTGTATATGAGAAAATTAAATGACCAGAATGGACAGCATTTGCATTGCCAAATTACTAAATTGTGGATGTTTATACGTTATGAAAACACCAAATGGATTTATTCAATCTTCTTAAATGATTTATTAAAAAAAAAAAAAAGAAGAAGCTGGCTTGAGGTTTCAGGACAGTATCTATACGGGAACGAAGGTTTCACCATCAGTAACTTGAGTGCAATAAACACAATTTAGAACCACACAGTGTTCCAATACTTCAACCAGGCCATGCTGTGCACCGGGTTGTCTCCAAGTCGCCCAGCGTGTCATACCGTTACGGGATGTGGCTCACTGAGGTCGTTCTTCGCACACCACGTTTATCAGTGAAATAACGACACCACATAGCATAGCTTGGGTCTGCGCTTGCTTGTCCAACGTCACAGTCCTCGTTTTTCCCCCCCCGCACTATTGTAATGTTACGTGCGCGCAGACAAACAAACGTGGCGGCACCCTTTTCCATTCACTTTAAACGATCATACCCACCGGGTCCTCGGCGAAACGCTCCCCGATGGACTCGCCCTCCAGGTAGCCGTACTCCAGATGATTTTCCGCCATGCTCACTGCTCAAACATGGCATCTGCAAAGCGGACTGCAGCTTGCCAAAACCACCGCAACACAAAATATCTCCCACAGGAAGAAAACGGTTGGCCGGTGGACGCGACACCTGACAGCATATGAGGTAATAGCTAATAGATATCACCTGTGAATGAGACCCATGACGCGCTGGATTGATTGACAGTGGCGCGCACGTGAGAAAGACGCTGGGCGATGTCTTCCTCCCATTGGCGCATCAACAAGGGGCCCTCCCTCCTCTCTGCCCCTGGTACCCATCCCTCCCCCCTCCTCACCCCCAAGATTTATAGCTAGTCAAATGACAACTGATAAATCCTGAGATCTACATTCGTTTACAATAAATGGTATCATTCTTCAAAAATAAAACTGAATATCTTTGATTGATTTAGTGGCGTTTGACTAAAATTACAGGATATTTCTAAAAGGCATAATGGGTGTTGTAGTAATCCTTGAGTGTCATCTGGTCATTAAAAACATTGTGAAATGTAAAATTTGAAACCAGAAGAAATAGGAAACGAGTTAGGTTACTTTATCACTGAGCAGCGTTTATTCACCCATCCATTTCCCCAGTTTTAGGGTTGGAAGAATTCACTTCTGTCTGACAATATCTGTTCAGTTGTTCATTGAGGCTATATGATGCTTGTACTGAGTGAATTATCACTCATAACACAACAGTTGTATGGCTACATTATCCCATCAAGTGGAAATATTCTTGACATTTTCTACAAATTTCTCTAAATTCAGTCTGACATATTTGGCATCAATGGAAACTTTGGGATCTCCACTAGAATTTAAAACATCAATCTGTTGGTAGGAACAAACCTTTGAGTCTGTAATGATTGATTTAACGGGCAGATTAAATAACCTGGCTAGAATGTTCAATGGATGATTACATTTTATAAAATGTGTGAACTCGCTTGACAGACATGAATATATGTTTTGAAGCATCTCTTAAATTGTAAATATTTGTGACAGTGGAGTGAGCTTGTTTGTGATTTGTATGTGTGGTATATTTAGTAATGTTTTGAAGTTGTAATATCTTTTTCAGTATGTTGTCTAGATCTGCTGTTATCGTATTTCTGATGAGGGAATGAAGTTTACATAATATGTTTGTGTGAGTTATTATTCTATAACAATGGATCATTTTCCTGTTCTGGGATAATCTCAGAATAAGACTGCACTTAAAGAAGAAAATCAACAAGAGTGATGAATACTTAATTTCATGTTTTAATTACACAGTTACATTGTTCAACACAGACAATAACCTGAATTAGAATGTTTTACAGCTTCACACATCCAACAGAGCGAACAGTTAAAGAGCGGTATTAGCAACAGGGAGGAAAGCATGCAAGAAATAAATACAAATCAGAATTTAATTCTTCTGGCACAGTTAACTTCATCTAAAAACGGCAACAGGACCTTCTTGACGAGGGAAATAAAACAAAAGGAGAAAGATCTTCAAAGCGCCAACCTTTCCGACAGAAACATGTTTTTTTCTGTAATAATGTATTGCACAATACAGTATAGAATGCTTCCCTACACATAAAAAAAACATAAACCTTTTTTCAATTTATGTAAATGTAAAAACAGGACCATCCTGAGCCATGGCTTTGGAGAAAACGTGCTGTATCCACTGTTTGCCACTTTAGCTTTCTACTGTAGCTAGTTCATCAATGCCTGTTTCACAGGAAGGACGTGTCACCATCACATCGGATGATCCTTGAAATTTCATTGGTAGAGTTACTGGTTGGGGTAGGGAGCGACAAATGCCAACCTGCTAATATTTGCCTTTTCTAAACATGCGTCTTGCCCATATCATGTACATAGTTAAACAAACAGAAAAGTGGCTGATGTAAAGTGTTCGGAGACCCCTTGGATGATATTCACAACAGCAGAGCCCTTATGCGTTTGCCATCTATGATATCTTCACAGAGAAAAGTATATAACACCTCGGCACAAATATCATTTGTTTCGTGCCTTAGTGAAGCTTGCACCCAGCGTAACAGAACATGGTCTTTTGTGTCCTGTCCAATGAAATCAGGAGGGAGAATTTCAGTGAGGGACAGTTGGATCTGTCCTGTACAGACTGCAGCCTCATGTCCCACACAATCAACCATGTTGAAGTTATCTAATGCCGCGACATAGCACAAAAACCTTAACCAAAGTGAAATCTGAAGAGAAAGTTGTAGCTTTTGGTTGTATTTTGGTCATTTATAAGTGGTCTAGTGGGTTTGGCTTTGTGTTTATCTGAGGGCTTACTTGCAGACAAGGAGACACACGTAAAGCATTAAAGAGTTGAATGGAACTGTCATTATGATGTTGTTTCGATGCGGATAGTGTGCGCAAACATGGTATTTTACTGCACAAAGCTGTTGCTACATATTGTGAATCAATCTGCCACTAAAGTCTGTCTGGGATGTTTCATTAAAGCTCTGAAAGTTTCAAGTAGTTTGTACAGAGACAAGAAGAAAAAGGTATGATTTTATCTTTTTTTTTTTTTTACAAAAGCACACACACCACCAGTCACACGCACACAAACACACACACCATCCATTCATTTTTTTTTTTTTTTTTTTTTATCTCTGCAAGGCTTTGTAACTGTAAGAACAGGCAATCATGAGGCTTTTCTAAGAGGATGCTTCTATTACTTTTACAGAAGCAGTATTCAATATGTAGACAACAAGCGCTTTGATTGCTTGAATAAAAATTCTACACATGTGAAACTCAGCCAGTTCATTAAACATGCTTTTCACTCTTGTGCCCTGATTGTGTGTATTTCAGACACTTTGGTTAACTGGTGTAGTGGAGCTCTAACCTTATTATTTCTAGTCTGACAATACACACTGTGTCAAAGCCTATTATGGCAATAGAGTACTTTGGTCTGTGCTTTTATTGGTTTTGGACAACAAATGACATGTCATGGTTGATTCTGTGTTGAGTTTGGTAGTATGCAAGTTTGACTGTACAGTATGTGTACCTACTACTAAATTCCGGCAGTATCAGTTTCGTTAGTGGGATGTGATCAAACCTATGGATCAAACAGCTGAGGTCTGGTTAGAATAGATACTGTTTAACATCAGTAGTAATGGCAATTCCTTTCAACAGTTTAGTTTTTATCATTTTCAGACAGAATCATGTGATCATGTTTGAATGTGCGCCACCATGTCTGCTCTCAGCCCAGCTTTTCAAAGTCCAGGACAACGTCTCCTGGTGGTTAGCTGTATGGTCGCAGGAGGTAGCTATAGTGTGAACGATGGTCTGGGGTAGTAGTGGAGGAGCTGGACATCAGAGGGAAAAGAGGAAATGACACAAAAATGCTGAGGTCAACACCATATCACAATGATCATAACACACATACATACATGTTACACACAGAGGCAAGGGTACCTCGTAGCTTATCGCATTTGAATTGTGTCTCAGGTAGTCCAAATAAAATGGTTCACTTCATCCATCTGTTGATGAACATGTTTCCTATGCCACTATCAGCAAAAAGAAAGTTACCTATTTTTTTCCCAAGTTTGGTCGAAGTGCGTATGAGGCCAACATTGTAGCGTTTACAGTGATCAAAATTAAATTTGTAGCATGTCGGCTTCAGGCCCTCTGTTGCTTTAAGTAAAGGCCTGAACACTGTTTAGTATTCATGTGTTAGCAGAGGCGAGCATAATGCTGGAGCATGTGGGAAATGCTGGGGGGAAAAAAACCTGAAGAGGTGACACTACTCTCTTGGCCTGGAAATAGATATTCAATTTATGCTCAACCTGCATCTTTACAAATAAACAGTAATCTGTTAAAAAAGCAACATTGCAAAGATTGGGTATCAAAATGAGCTTTTAGGTTTACTTCAGTTTAACACTGGCATATCACTTAATCCTACAGTAATGGCTTGCCATGTACCTTGGGGGAAACAAATACTCCTAACCTCACACACACACACACACACACACGCACACACACACACACACACACACACACACACACACACACGCACACACACACACACACACGTTGATGAGGACCAAGAGAGAGGGTCACTGCAGTGGCAGAAACAGAGCACTTGACATGATATATCAAGTTTGACAATTCTTAAATATGTTGTGAATGATCTAAATTTGAAACTGAGCCACGACATTTTCCTCTTTTGTTTTTTCAAACCTTTGAACATATTTGGGATTTTTTTTGTTACTACACACTGTTGAGTCCCCTCCTGCAGGATGTAAACTGACCTGGGGTGAATGAAGCACACGACACAGCTTTGGGTCCCAATTGCACCATCGCATTCAAATTAAGAAGATTAAAGTGAAACATAAATATATTTGCTTGGTGTTATACAATGTGGATTTTCAAATATTGGTAATTAAGGACTAATTAATTAATTAATACATTAATTCAGAAGTCCTGTAGTGTCCATCCACCTTTGATCTGTTTTCATCCATTTTCAGCTACATGCATTGTATGAAGCCACTTTACCTCCACTACCAACAGTCTCCTCCGCTCAGGGTCACATGACACTTTGATTTGAGTAAAAATTAAAACTGATTAACTTGTGTGAGAGAAAAAAAAAGATTGATGAATTTGAGAAATAAATGTACTGTGAAAAAATCATAATCTGGACATTAAACTTTAAAGGTTTCTGTTATTTGGCAAACACATTTTTGGACCTCTTTAAATACTATGTACATTCACATTAAGTTACTGATGTTACTTTAAATATATTTATATGTATCTATATTATATGACACCCTATGGGCAGTTGAGGTTCCATTCAGTAGCTGAATTCTCTTCATATTGCACCTCTGTCCTCTCACTGTCTTACAATGCGAGCTATACAAAATATTCTACAAGAGGGGTTTCATCTCATTAATATAGATACAACAAATCAAACAATAAGTACAATGCTGGGCTTCCTCTCATAAGCGAGTGTCCTACTTGGTCTGACCTCACTGCTCAGCCCAAACTTATAGGAGGAAAATGAAAGGAAACAAAACCAAAACAAAGTCCATCTTTCTGGATATACACAAGGGCAGCACATGTGGACATCAGCGACAAGAGACATTATCGAAATTTGAAAGAGGAACAATATCTACAAGCAGGTTCCGAACCCTTCCCACGAGACTGCTCAGCGGCTCTGTTCGAAGCAGGCGGGGGTTAGGGGCAGACTTGAGTCAAGTCGTCGGGGGAAGAGCAGTAGAAGGGAGGTGTGGGGTGAGGGGAGGTAGAAAGAGAGAACCAAGTCTACACCGCCCTTCACTAGGCTCCTTTTTATCTGTTTATCATGCTTTGGAAAAAGAGGGAGTGAATGTAAAGGTAACACCAAATCCTTGAAATATCTCCTTGTTGTGGAGCTTAAAAAAAAAAAGAAAAAAAAGACTTACAATCTTCTCATAAGTCATAGTATACAATGCCTTCTTGGACAGTGTTTTCAAGCTTCCTTTGAGGTTTTTGGCAGCTCCTTTGCCATTTATGTATCTTCATCTCCTTTGAGGCTGTGTAGCTTTTACTTTCCTCTTTATTCCTCTCTGGTACCATTTACAAAACAAAGAAAAATCACACTGTGGCAGGGTTTCCATCCATTTCATGAAGTCCTTCTTGTAGCCAAGTTCACAGCATTGTCCTTATTCACTAGTCTGGGCCATCACTGAGGAACCGCTGTAGTTTTGTCCAGACTACAGGAGACAGCTGCAGATCAAAGCAGGTCACAGTTTGTTTTTTTTCTTCTTTTAAATGTCTGACTATCTCTGGGTCCCGTTCTGCAGCTTCTCTGCAGCCTGGTCCTCTCAGGGCTGGCTTATCTGCTGAGGAGGTGATGTTGCTTTGCGTTTGGTTATAAGATGAGTGCTTCTCCTTATCGCTTACTTACTCACTTTGGCAGTGTAATACAAAGGTTTGGATCATGTTATTTTTCATTCATCTTTGAATTCATTTGGGTTCACAATGGTGCAGAGGTGAGTCCGGTGTAGATTTTCTTGGCTCGCTAGCAAGGTAGTTAGCAGTTTAAAATTAATTCATTTTCATATCATTATTATCATCATCAGCATCATCATCACTACTATTCTTTATTTAGAATATTTGGACTTTTCTTTAATTTCCCTTAAAGCCAGAAAGAAACATTTAATAAATACTAAGCTGTGTTTCTGAGGAATTAATCGCATCACAGGGTTTTTCCCTTCCCTCATCCATTTGAAAAAAGGTATTTTGTCCTTGCCTGTCCCCATTAGGACACTGTAGAATAAGTGCCACATCAGTGAACTGTTTGCACAGGTAGTGCACATCTAAGGGCTGAGTACTACACTCTCATTGGTGCTAAATTAAAGGGAAATCCAATACAAGTGCTAATCAGCCTAGCCCCTACCCCCCCCCCCCCCCCACCCCCACCCCCACCATCACTGTTTCCTACCACAGCCCTTGTCTTGTGTCCTCATGCAGACAATATTTAACATGCTTACATTACTGAGGACACATCTTAGCCACATCTTCAAGTCAAAGCTCATGTTTTCAGCAAAACACATGTGATATGTTTCTGTGACTGAACACAGAGATAGAAGACACTTTTCATGCTTTCCGCTACACTGAACCCCAGGCTGGAATCTTTGTATTTGTGGCTGTGGTTGTAAAAGAGACAAAAACAGAAAAAGTGTTTTTGGGGGGAGGTGACCAGTTGAGTCAGTCTATCATCAGGTAGTGAGACGATTTTCAGAAGAGCTTAGGATAAGAGGGAAATAAGGACTGAAATAGGGGAGGAGGAAATTGAGCGGCGTGCAATGAACTTCCTCAGTTTGGTTTTGTGTGGAGTGTGGGCACTGTCGCATCAGTATGCAGGGAAGGGACAAGGGTCCGACGTCAACGAGAGGTGGCATCCAGTAGGGCGGGGGTAGCTGGAGTTGTGGAGCGAGAGGCACTGCTGGAACTGCTCTCCTTGGGGCTGGCAGAGACACTTCCACTGCCGCTGCCAGCCCCTCCCGCAATGCTGCTCTGGCCGGCCAAGGACAAGGCTCCTGGAGGAGTGCTCTCCGAGTGGGTGGGGGGCGCACTGGAGGACGCTGAGGAGGAGGAGGGGGGGCCTAGAGGGACACTGCTGCCCCCTGGCATCCCCTGCAGGCCTTGACCACAGACATGGTGGTGCTTCTCCCAGTCTTTGTGTTGGCAGAAGGAGCCGCAGTAGCGAGCCGTGTTGCAGCCGCTGCACGTCTCACTGGCTTTCCTCCCACAGTTCCAGCAGCTCTGTTGAGACAGTGGGGAGAGAGTGGGTTGATAAAAATAAGTCTCTTTTTTGTCCCAGGAAAGTTTTCTCTTCCTCACATAAATATATGTTTAAACCTAACATAAGTATTGTAAAATCTTAGCCTGATCATATATTTTTTTATTCTTTGCACAAGGATTTGATTTGAAGGCTTTAAGTCCTGGTCCGAGGCCACTGGTTTGTGTTACCAGCAGGTGGTGGTCAACTGCTCAGTAATGACCTCAGCCTGGCACTCTGCTCCAACCATCTGGGTCCGTCTGCTTTTATTTACACAGACAACTGGACTGCATCTACTTATAATGATGACAACATGGTGCAGCAACAAACCAACAGCAGCAAGCTGTATGGATTACACATTGCAGGGTAACTTGGAAGATAAGGGGAACAAAGTGAAGGGCAAAAGAGCATTAATGAGCGAGAGACAGAGTGATGTATTAGAGAACAAGTGAGAGGAGAATTAAGGTAAATGTGGTTGGGGGGTCTGTGATACTCACTTCACTGGAGTCCTCCTGCTGGTTGATTACTGTTAGTGCGTCCTCAGAGGCTTGCCTCTTGGCCTCGGCCAGCGCCCTCTCCATTTTAGAGCGTTCGGCTGAAATCATCTCATGGGCTTTCCGCTCAGCGTCTGACACCGCCTTCTGCAGCTCTGACATTGCCTGTCGCTTAACCTCATTCACTGCCTCCTCTAAAAAAAAAAAAGAGAGAGAGGTGTTAGTGCAAACGCCCATCGTCCCGTCCTGGGCCTGCTCTATCATCCTTTGAGGCTCTTTAAGCTGCCATCTTGTTGTATCTCAGCGAACAGATGTACATCATCCAAGATTTAAAACTTTCTGCCAGAAAAGGGAAACAGCAGACTTCAATAATTAATTCAAACACGTCTGGCCACAATCATTTCCAGTGCTGACAACAACAGATGTCTCCAAAATTTTGTCTCTAACTTGGCTGTTCAAACAACATCCTGGGATTCCCTGTTTGCATGATTGTCATCTTGTCATAAAAATAATTTTAATACAATTCGTAAGACGGATTTCACAGTGAAAAGAGAATAATTTCCCCACCGGTTGGCAGCCGTATCCCCACTGCAGGGCTTCCTACGATGTAGATTTTTATCATGGGGCCTTTTGTTTTTCCAGCAAAAGCACAAACTGTATGAGTGAAGAGACTGTGTTTTTACAACAGGCAGGTGTGTAGACTCTCTACCAGATGGCAGTCAAAAAATAGAAACTTCCCGCAGTCTCCTCTCAGTAAGAGGCAGAAGTGATTACATTTTGCCATCTTTCATTATTGGCCTCACGGTGCACAACATATGTATAGTGCATGCTTTCCTGTAGGGCTTTATACACCTGAGAAACAGGTTTCCAAATATAAAAACATCTATGAATAGAATGCTAACGTGGTATCTTGTGATCACAATACATAAATTCACCTAAAATGTCAATTTCTTCAGCAATCAGAGACAGCAACACTTTTAAAGACGAAATTACTTTTCACCCTCCTGCTCCGCCTCCTCCAGATGTGCATGGTTGACACACTAAGACACAAATGACACACATACAAATAGCTATCCAGGTGTGTTAGGCCAACCAAGTAGGAGGTGAGACTGATAATGTTCTCTCCACTGCTCCCTATTTCCTCCAGTCAGTGTTTGTTTGAGTGGGAACTCATAAATAACTGTCACTCTTCCTTGCCGCTCCACTCCACTTGTTTCAAACTACTGTGTTAAAAGATAGGCGGCGGAGGGAGCCTTATCCAACACTTTGCTGTGTATGTGCGCATGGCTGCGTGTGCATGTATGTCTGAGCTTGATTCCTATGCTGAAAAGTTAATATTCTGTCAATCCCGTCAACATACAGTCACCCTCAGACATGTCTCAATGGCTTCCTTCATTCCATCATTCCCTCTCTACCTTTATTCTTCATTTCATTTCTGCTCCTTTTTTTTTTTTCTTAAACCCCTCTTCCTCCTCCTCCTCCTCTTTCTTCTTTTCGTTGCAAAACACTATCTGCATTATCCCGAGCTTCTCAATTATCTGGCCTAATGCATGCACCACTAAGATTAGTTTGCAAATTTAATTAATTCTTATCAAGGAGACTGCATAGCAGATGCTGGGGCAATTAGCTCTTAATGGAAAACACGGGGACAGCAATATTAACGTTTTAATTCCACAGGGATTTGGCAAGTCCCTGAGACGTGTTATTTCTGCCTGCTTTTTCACACTTCAGATCTTATTTTTCAAAGGCACTGCAGTCTCTCAACCTGAACCAGACCAGAGAATACGTGTCTGGTTTTAATTAAAAGCAAGAGGTGCTGCAGCTACATTAGGCAGACTACCTGGCTGCTGAGATAGAGGTGACACATGCTCACATATACACAAACACACACACACACACACACACCAAGGTGAGATATGGAGATATGTTACTCACCCTGTCTGTTTTGGAGGTGCTTTAGTGCTGGGGAGAGCGGGATGCTTGTAGTACCTGTATGAAAAACAACTGCAATTAAAAGAGCTTTTTCTGCTGGTGAAAATGCAGCACAATATTTTGCCGACAGCAGCAACCGGTATATTTCCTCCGCAGGGTATTGGAGTACGACTGCAACATAATAGTGCTGGGACTGGGGAGGAACAAGGGCTGAGCCAGATGACTCCTGGGATGGGCTCTATCTAACATGCAGTGTACAAGAAGGCCCATGCAATGCAACACTCCCGCCTGCTTCCCTTTGGCCTCAAACTGAGCCAAAAAAAATAACCATGGTCAAGATAATTTTGTCTGTATATCTAAATGTCTGTGTTTGATTTACTTCAGTAATACATTAGTATACTGTGCATGAGGCTAAAGAAATTAACACAATAAAAACAAGCACAAAAACTTGAGACTGTCTGTGTTTCTCAGGTCAATGGAGACCAGTAATCTCTAATCTGTGGTGTGCTGCTGCGGCCCGCTTTGGGCCAGGTGACTGCATTTTCACTGCAGCTGTAACGGCAGTGGCTTTTCATAGTGGTGACAGATGGAGGGCATTTAGCCCTAATGACACAGAGGGCCTCCAAGCCTCTGCCCTGATGGACCTACGGCTGTAAGGCCTCTGCTCCGTCTGTCTCTGTGGCCACGGTGAGGGCCGTGAAAGACTGATGACAGTGACTGTGTGTGTTTTGTTAGTCCGTGTGGGGTCAATCATGAAGACAATAGAGAGAAGAGGATGCTTGGCTCTTACCAGCTTTCCTCCAGATTTCTTCTGGCAGGTATCCTGAGGGAGGCCTGTGTAAGAAGTCTCTGTGGATCTCTGAAACACACAAGCAGGCACACATTCAGTCTCAATTACACACACACACACACACACACACACACACACACACACACACACAGTGATAGACCTTTGATCTGCTCAAACACACATCCTAGAAGTTTCCACTTCTATTTTTGGGACCAATACACACTATATTTGTGGCAACATCAGTAAATAAGCTGTCATCAACTATTTCTACCATTTCTGGGAAGGAATGAGAATACGGGAGTTAGACGTGAATACAAATGTAAATTATGAATGAGCATGCTGGCAGCATAAGGGTGCAATCAGTTGGTTAAAGATCCAGGATGTTGAAACCAGATTTGTATTGCCTCACCGAATGAGTTTACATTTGTACATTTGCAGAAAAATGTGATAATTTAAGTGACTTTTTGTGTCTAAATTGATAGATTAAGGCATTTTACACATTTCAAATAAGCTTGCTGTGAGTGTTTTGTTTTGTGTTTGTCTACCTGTCTGTCTGCCTGTCTGCCTTTCAGCAGCCGAGGAAGTTCCTACGGGCAGTGACTCGCTGCTGCTAGCTGTGTTGGAGGAGGAGTTGTGGTGAGGAGTAGGAGGAGGAAGAGGAGGAGGAGGAAGGCAGTGCTGTCCGTTGCTCCCACCTTTTTTCATCTCCTCCACGTCGCTATAGCGCCGAATCCAGTGATTCATTTCCTCCCGGTCAGCCTCCTGGCAGCGGCGCAGCACTGTCAGAGAGCGGCGCGTCTTCTCCACCATGTCCATGATGCAGTTCAGGAGCTGCAATGGGACAGGATTGAGGATGAGTTAAAACTTAGTGATGAATCAACAGGAGAAATTCAACAGTGCTCCATTTAGTTGAAAATATAAATCCCTATGACCGAAACACATGACCAGGACAGGTCCCCACAAAACTAATACAAAATTAAACTCGATCATCTCCACAACACGGTAGTAGAGTTTTTTTAAATTAACCAAACTTGATAAATCCATAAAAAAAAATAAAAAAAACATAAAAAGACATGCCTGTTAGCGTGCGACTCTGTGTTTCTGTCTCGGCCTGTTTTGCTCATGGATTGTGGGCTTGTCAGTGAATTTCAATGTCTAAGAGCATTACAACAGCGATAATGTAACAGCTGGGCTGCTGATGAAAAAGTTAACCCAATTCCTTCCACCCTTCTGCTCCGGTCCCTGCCAACTCAACAGATTTCCACTCCCCCCCCCCCCCCCCCCCCCCCTTTTAAACAGTGTCACTTTTTTCCACCCTTTCCTGTGTTTCCAGAGTCGGCTCGGCCTGCTAAATGGGTTTAGCATGGTTGACATTCAATCCATATCATTATTCTCATTCATCTTTCCCTCTCTCTGTCTCTGCCATCTTTCCTCTGTCCCTCCCTCCCCTCTGAGTTCGCTATATTTATTTCAGTGAAGTGTTTCTAATTTGGCAGGGGTCCAGGCCTGGCCGGTTCTCTCCATGACTGCAGCTCTTGTCTCAGCTGCTCTCCCCAGCTGGAGCTGCGCTCTGCTGGGTCCTGAGCTCCATCTGGGGCCCTGTTTCTGTGTATGCCTGTCTGTCTGTGCATGTCTGTGTGTCTAGCGAATGTGATTTTGTCTTCATGGAGTTGGGTGCCAGGAAGCCAGATAGGTGTCTGTTTGTTGTTCATTCACCACTCTGACAATGTCCGTCAACTGCACACTCTGATGGAGTGTCAACAGTTCCCGTCCCACTAAAGTTAACTTAAATCACCTGCTTTATTTCCCACTGCTCCACGATATTTATGAATTAGAGGTGGTCAGCATTAACCTCGGCTACCATGCTGATACGTACATTATCTAGGTGCTTCCATTCCTCTGCCCACTCTCGATCTGTAAGACGATGGTCAATCACCTCCTCTTGGCGCGCTCCATGCACAGCTAAAAGACAAACACATGGGTGAGATTCTGCACACAATTCTGTATTACTGCCTCTAAGCAGCAAAACACTCCATTGCAGGGTGGATACCTAACTATGTCCATGTTTGAGCAAGGGGAACTGGAAGAATTTCTAACTCTGAACCCAGTCCTGACTGTCATACCGAATACTAACAAGTAAATATAATACTGAAAATGTTTCTATTTTCAAACACTTACAATTAGTAACAGTGTGTGTGTGTGCCCATATTTGTGTTGGGGTGGATGACAGTTCATTAATTTCTTGTGGTGTGTGCAATGGACTTTTTCCTCTTCTCCTCTACTTTGTTATTGTTTTATTGTATTGTATTTTGTAAAATCAGCAAGTTAGTTGTGTAATTTCAAACGAAAAAGCATGTCATGTGCCTATTCTATTACCTCATATCTAATCAGTAAGACAACTTGGCTAAGAATTCATCCCTTTCCTTTTGGGAAAGCAGAAGGAAGGCATATATGGTTGCCACAGTTGTAGTAGCGTATAGGCATGTATGGATGTAGTCTTTATATAGACGCACTGCCACAAGGATTATCACACTGGACTGACAACTGGCCTTTGTTCTCTACAGACAGCCCACTTACATATACACCAGCCCATAGACTGACCATGTAAGTGAGAACTGGAGACCTATGGATTTATCTGACAATGTGAATGCAGCCGTCCTACCCGTCTGCCGGAGCCTGTCCCGGGCGTCGCGGTGTTCATTGTGTCTGTAAGCGTCTCTGTATTGGTGCGCCAGGGCCATGTCTTCTAAGCGATAATGTTGGGGTCCCACTTGGGGGTTGGGTGGGTGGGGCAGGCCGTTGGGAGGGTGTGTGGGGAGGCCGTTGGGAGGGTGTGTGGGGAGGCCGTTGGGTGGCGGGTGAGCAGGAAGACCCGTGCTGGGGCTGAAGCGTTGACTGGGGCTGATGGTGCACGGCCTCTTAGCCATGTGCTCCGGGTGCAACCCATCTCTCTCTGAGCTGTCTTTGGTCCTGTAGAGGAGGACAGGGGAGTTGGTTCAAACATTATGTTAAAACACTCAGTGATATTATATAGTATATGGCATCATGGCTTACCATGATACTATTTAATGTTGCGATTATAATGAGCAGTTTGTAGGAGCTTATACGACTCTGATATATTTAAGAAAATGAAGGCAGCCAGGCAGTAGATAATGTCAGCACTACGCAGTTATTAGAATACAGTTTGAAAAAGTAGACCCAGTGCAAACTACTTTGTTAACAAATACATTAAACATCCAGAATTTAAAAACATGGAGTTAAAGTTGAACTGTTTAATCACAGACTAAGGCCTGCAGCACAGTGGGATGTTATGTGGTATATTATGATCTACAACAAAACAGATCTTTGTTGTAAAAGGCAGGGTTTATTTGCCAATATGCAATGTCCCTGCACAGACTGCATCTCTTAAGCTCTGTTTCCTACTACCACATGTACCATTATTCCACAAATGTCAAACCAAGAATCAATTCTGCTGCTTCAAATGAACTCTGGATCACTCAAAAATTGTGTTGATGCTAACATGACTACCCTCATTAGCACTAAATGGCTCATTTCTCACCTCAGTTTTATTGAGAAACAGATTTTTTTACACCATATTAATGTCTGAAGAGAGAGAAATCACTTTTGTGCTGGCTACTTCATCTTTCTCCAGCTAGTCTATGGCCTTGCCAGACCACAATGAGTGATGTGAAAACTGTGCGATGACTGCAGGCTAAATATGCAATGATAGTGTATGACTTCATAGTTCGGGAAAACATGCCCAAGCAAAGACCGGAATGCCCTTGAAATCAGATCAAGAGGCAAAAATTGTCCTCAGTAAAAATATGTCAAAGAAAAGACTTTCATGAAGTCTGATTGGTTGTGTTAGTGTTTGCCATAAACTGTCATATCAATTAATTTTTTCAAAATTTACAGCATTTAGTATTGTGGACTATACCTGTTTGTAGAGTGTCTAGGACAAACTTGTTTTTTAAACAATTCCCACATGGTGTATGCAAGCACACATATACACACAGACACACAGACACACAGACACACACACACACACACACACACACACACACACACACACACACACACACACACACACTCACACGTATCCCTGCTGAGAGCTGCTTGTTGTTCAGTTACAGTAAGGCAGTGCTCCGCCAAAGCTTTTGCACAGCTGTACGCCATATGTATGAAACAAAGCCAAGTCCAACTGTAACCCTGCATCTCAAACTCTTAATCTGAATATCCCTCAGCCGACTCTTAGATTGCAAGTATTTCTCCCTCCCACCCTGCTCTCGGGCTTAAGGGGCAATGTGGGCTGAACTCCGTGTTTGGCAGATGTTCAGTGAAACTCATTTGTGTCTGTGTACTTTTAGTGAGGGTGTGTGTATGTGTGTGTGTGTGTGTGTGAGAGGCTGTTTCAAGCCATCTGGACAGTTTAGATGGGAGTGTTGATATTAATCTGTTTAGCTGGATGGCAATAGCCAGACATTCCGATGCAAATCACTCTTTTATTATCCCGGGATCAGAGGCGAATAAATACAACGCTGCCCAATGTAGATGGCGTGTTTATGTGTTTATGTGTTTGTGTGTGTGTGTGTGTGTGTGTGTGTGTGTGTGTGTGTGTGTGTGT